ACACACACACACACACACACACACACACACACACACACACACACACACACACACACACACACACGCACACGCACGCACGCACGCACGCACGCACGCACGCACGCACGCACGCACATGCACACGCATATATATATATATATATATATATATATATATATATATATATGTGTGTATACATATATGCGTGTACGTATTTGAAAACAAGGTCGTGCTAGGCAGCAAATCATATTATGTAGTTTTGTCGTCGAATACGAGAATACGACAGCGTAGCTGTTTTCAGTTATCTTCTTTCGGTTTCGCTCGATGTATAGGAACAAACTTTTCGTGTGATGGTCAGACTAAAAAAGAACTTGCCCAAAGTCGGTCTTCACATTTGAGTTTCATCAAACACATGGCACAATCAAGGTTAAAGTTGTATCATGCTGTGATGCAAATATTGTACATGTGTTGCGATTCGTTTGTGGTGACATTTCGACATCCGCATTTGCTACGGGGTTCATTCATTCTTTATATGAATTCATACACGATACAGATACATGGAGTAGAGTGAAGGCTACCTCATATTTTTTATTTAACTGGTATTACTCCGCAGTTTTTGACAGAGAGTAATGTATTTGTTACACTTTAATGGATAATGCTCTACCATTCCATTTGCAAACTGTAAAAGGACAGTAAGGTGTCTGCCAGCGAAAACCTTAAATAGCCCTTACTGCTGGCTGAAAGGACCAAACAAAGATATCATCGAAACGGCAGCAGAATATTAAGAGCCGAGTTTGACAGGCTGCCCAAGAATTACGAAAGCACAAAACGCAATCTGAAGGGAAGCGAGTAAAGCATTTATTGACGTCATTCAAGACCAGCCTATGTATTTGAAAAATGTAAATGACATTCTCTAAGACGAGCTCAGGTTCAGACGGATCGGCAAAGACACTATTGAACGCTGGAACAAGTTATCCACTTGATCGACACCACTTGCGTAGTGACAGGCACCTACACGCAGCGAAACTAGTCATCGGCGATCGCAAGCCAGGCTATGGGATGGGGCGGACAATCAAGACACACAGACGAGGCGACCTTCTACAGCTTATCATCTCACAAATTCTGACCCCTACTAACGGACTTGCCAAGACACTGAACTCGTTAGTAAGCCCGTATGTTCGAGCAACGTACGCTTTTCAGTGAAGTCAGGAATTTGTTGCGCTTTCGGAAAGGAAAAATCCGACAGGTGTGATAACTCCCTCGATTCTAAAGTCATGTTCACCAATGTTTCTATGACTGAAACCACATAGCTTCTTTTAGAACAAGCATCCAAACATCCAACTGCTTCCCAGCTATCAAAATGATTTTGTCGACAAGTGCTACAAATGTGAGCCACAGAAGCAGATTTTCGCTCGCCTTAAGGTCAGCTTTATCTTCAGACGGATTGAGGAGCGATGGGGTCTCCTCAGGCGTGCACTGCGCTGGCGCATATATGGGCCACGTGAAAAAAACTGTTTTCATCTCCCTGAACAGGCCACCTTGTTTCCACAGAAGCCGATAACACTTTTGTTTGAGTCATTGGCAAACGCGTCTTGGAGCAACTACGGCTGAAGCTGGAAGGCAAAGCTCTCCCACGCTTCACTAGTGAACAACGAATTCAGGATGAACTGCCATTCCTGGTCATAGAACTGAGATTCTGCACGGGTAACACCAACTGGGAGCCTAGAGGAGAACAGCGGACCTGGGCAAATGCCTGGGGTTACGCAGCAAGTGCCATCAGCGGCACAAAAACGGAGTGATCCGAAACTAAGCTTGGCGGAGAGAGAGGGAGAGAGATAGGGGGGGGGGAGACGAGAAAGCGATGCAAGTATACAACTGACGTGCAAAAATATGAATATATATACGTCTATACATACCTATATATACATATATATATATATATATATATATATATATATACATCGCTATTGTATTCTATGCATATATGCATACATATTCATATAGCTATATATTCATATGAATAGGGATGAGCAAAAACAAGTCGTTTAAAAAAATAGCCTGTAGCTAGACTCTAGGTTTTTAGACGTCTAGGCTGTCCGGAAAAATCCTTTTTGTTGTAAGGCTGCAAATTTTAAGTTACACCAATGATGTTCCCGTGCCTTTGCTACGGATGTGAAAACGTCCGTCGCAAATTTAATTGCTTCTTGCTACCTGCAGCGGTATTAAAGCTTCGGCTTGGCTGTCACCGCATATGTGCTGGTACATCTTATGCCCTGTGGTTTTGGAACAGTACGATAGCTCCAGGATGGCCGTGCAGCACATCAGTATCTAACGCATGCAGATTATGTTGACACTGTAAAGGGAAGGTACCATCGCAGTAATATATATATATATATATATATATATATATATATATATATATATATACAAGGCGTGAGAAATATCTCGCCTAGGGGAGTATGTATGCGTTTTGTGTACTGAACCTCTCCACTAAGCGCGAAGGGAGTCGATGTGACCCACCCTAAGTTTGTTTGAGGATGCCTCTCAAACATTTAGTGCAATCGCGCCCAAATTTTTCAGTAGCCTATTGGCCATCCATTGTACGTGTTTTTGCACAACAAAGGGTTCCCAGTATTTTTGGTTTTAGAGCAGCGGCGATTTTTGAGGAACATAACAAGGCGATCTACGGCCTATGCGGACGGCGGGCGACAGCCGATGATACCGCGGAACGCGCACGCCGTCCAACATGGTTACATTTAGAGAGGCATGCATCATACCTGTATGGTAAAACCAAATGCAACTATATACCATTGTACTCAAAACTGAGGAAGGAACACACCTTTTAAATCGTGTGCCTCTTCAAAGCATGGTCTTGTATGCACGAGGTTATAGAGCGGAAGAAGTTCACCTCTCGTGAAAATTTGACCTTTGGCCTGGCATGATCGGGTCAGTTATTGACCTTTCAATATAAATCTTACCATCGAGATCTAATCTAATCCGGGATCTCGTTGAGACCAATACACTGGTGTTTTCTGCTAAGCTATATATTTCTTACTGTGAAAACGCCAGGGGCGGGATGATCGACCTCCCCATCAGTCCACACTGTGAAAAACGGCGAATCAGGGCGAGGATTAATGCGTATGACTATGTGCGTATGTGTTAGCGTGGGTGGGGGGGGGGGGGGGGAGGGGAGGTTGGAGGGACTAAACGTTTCAGGGACCCTAGTTGACGTCCTTAGGTTAACAGTTGATGATTTTTTTTCGTGAGCAGTGTACGTTGGCAGGCGAGTTATAAATCACGTTTCGGTGCTCCTGGCATAGCCCTAGCTCGCCGACGCGTCACACACTAGTCATGGCACTAGCTAGCCAGTGCCATGCCCGTGCGCACTGCGTCTATCATCAAGTAATAGATATTAAGTGTTTCATCGACGTCTAACAAATGAGAAAGTCCGATCCACCGTGCGATCTCTCTCATCAATCACCGGGTAATTTCGACACAACTCCTACGTAGCCGTCACATGGGGAAGCAATATAAGGTCGACAGCACATCCGTGGCCTTTGTGTAGGTGGGTACGTAACACGTGTGCAAATGTAATTGGGATTCGTATGGTGACGGTTTGATGGGCAGACCACCTCAGTTTTGTACAGCCTGGTATGAGATGAGTTACGTAAGCACAAGGGCAGCGTAATTATGTGACAAGATTATACAAGGCAGCTGACAGGCTTCCGCAGTGTGTGGGAAAATATGGAACCTGTTTGGGTTCCGTACGTGTTGGGTGATGAGGCCTTCCAGTCACCGCAACCAACACGCTCACCGATGGCATGGTACATCGTGAAGGAAATGATCACGACGATCGTATCGCGGGACCAGACTTGTACGTGAGTCTGGCCCGTTCGGCGAGATGTAACCGTCAACAAAGTGCGCAATCATCAATCTACCATATGCGACGACTGGAACTGACCAGCTTACAGGCCCGCCGGCCTTCGGCTTCCACCATTTCTATTGCCATAAATTGAATGTCGATGTTGGATATCGAGACCAGGTGCTACATCACCGATTTCTAGGCGTAAGGAGCATAAACGGTATACCGTTTTCTGGGTCCTGGCGCAGAGCTGTTCGTTTCCGTTGGTCTTAACATCTAAAACCATTTTTTGTCAGGAACCCTGACCAAAAGAACATTTTACTCAACAACCCTGTGCAATCAAAAACAAACAAATATACCGCTACTCTATCAGCTTGCCGCGAGCAGATCTTACCCTCAGACCGGCCCCAATGGCGATCTGTTGGCGGCAGGAGCTCTGGTCAGCGTTAATGACATCAGCGCAGAGTCGATGGTGGGACAGGCTCCCCCCCCCCCCCACACCCTCTGCTACACCCGCACGCCTGCCCTCTAACCCTACGGCCGCGCCCGCCTCGAGTGCCATCCGTTCAGTTAAGCTGGCCAGCAGGTGAGTTCGGCCCGTTCGGAAGGAGCCGCTGCGGCGCTGTTGGCAGGCGCGGGCCCCGCTGCAGCTCGGCACCAGCGGCCCAGCGACCGGCGACGGGCCGACAGCCATCGACTGACGATTGGCTGCGGCGTTTCATTCGGGCCACTGCGTCGGCCGACAGCGTTAATCTGATTTTATGACGCAATGGATTATAGATTTGTCGTGGAGCAGAAGGCGGACCGAACTTCATGAACAGCCTGATGGTAATCGGCGGTCTATAGCTGGCTCTGAGCTTAATCAAGGAGGAAAGTTATTGGACCATTTTTCAGGAGCGTCTCGTCGAAGGCCGAGCGCATGTTTTCTAATGCCTCGTTATTGCTTTCAACCGAGACAGGTCAGAACTCGCTGGCGCACCACTCCAACCCCTTTCCCGCTCGGAAGTGTCCCATGTGCGCCATCCTTCCCCAGCGCCGCGCCCACGTCATCCCATTCCGTGCCGCATCACGGCCTCGCATATTTGCGGATGACGCCTTCCTCCCGTCCCACCGACGTGACTGGCGTGGCGCCCATCTGACCGGCCCCCTCCACGCGCAGGTGCTCGGGTCGCAGCACGAGTTCCATTTTGTGCACCGCGGGCTGGCGTCGGTCAGGACCAAGCGGAGCGTGCCCCACCTGCGCAAGCTGAAGGCCCATCCGCTGGTGAGTGCAGCTGCCCGATGTAAACAATGTTACCCAAGTTCACACAATCACCACAATCCACACCCAAATGTTCGAAACAATATTTGTCCTGTGTGTGTGTCTTCCTACTTGTAGGCTGCTTGGTTTATTCCATCATATTTACCTACTCCATCTTGATTGCGAGAAAACGTTGTCCACGTTTCATATCATGCAAGCGACTCTAGCACTGTTCACTCTAAATACGCGCACTTCACGTATTTGACAAGCGCCGACTCCGTATTTGAGAAGTCACGGCTGGTGAGCGCCGTTGCCGGACCGTTGTCCGCCGTCTCCGGCGCCACGCCGCGAGCCTCCGGACACGAGGATGTCCGGCCGGGCTCCGGTCAGCGCGGAGGCTTGGCACGGGGAGATGCGCTGGTGACCGTGGCATCGTCTCTTTCTAGCCACAGAGCCTGCCTGCGGGTTACAGCCGCTCCCAAACCGAGAGCAGATTTGTCAGATATGTTCGTCAGTTTTGAAGCAAATTTGTCCATGTCAAGTTTGAGTGGCAATGGGTTGATGAAGTGGTTCAGGTTTCATCGTATTTAAGTTATTCTTAAGATATATGGGACGTATTCAAGCAAGGATATGAAAAGGATAAATGTCGCCCCACTCGGGAAAGCAGATCAAACTTTAATTCCAATTGTATGTTGGATAAATTTGCTCGAACGAAGCTCTATTGTCACGAAATAACAATTACATTTGATGGACATTCCCAAAGATAAATGTCGAGTAGTTTCAACTACGTCTTTGCAGAAGGGCACGAGTTGACTTAGAACATTTCAGTAGAACGCGTATATTCAGTTAACGCAACACATTTGTGTGTGGATAACCTTCGCCCTGATTTGCCATTTTTCATAACGCGGACTGATGCAGGGAGAGGGCAGGCGTCAAAGGGTCGATGCGTTGGTCGATGGTCCCTTGCGTTTCCAAACTGATGAAGATAGAGCTTTGAAAACCACCAGTGGATAGATCTCAACAGGATCTCGCGATTGATACGAAGTGTTACATAGTTAGGCCAATAAATGTCCCCATGTTACCAAGTAATAAGTCAAATCTTCGCGAAAATCGCACTTTTACAGCTTAACAAAATCATGCGCACGAGACTATACGCCATTGTGACACAAACCTAAACAGGTCATTTCTCATGCAGTTATGAATGCATTGGTGTATATCTGAATATGTTTTTACCATACACCTATGATGTATGGCTCAGCGATGTCGGCCCGTTGCGCGTGTTCCGCGACATCGCCGGCTGCCGCGCGCCGGTCGAGCCGACCGTAAATCACCATACATTGTTCCTAGAAAACCACCGCCGCTCCGAACCCGGAAGAGGTAGGGACACGTTTTTGACGTCAAAACACGTGCCATGGATGCTCCTCAGCTTACTGAAAACTTGGGCGCGGTTACAGAGCATGACGGAAAGGGATGCTCAAACAACCTTAGGTGGGATTCGTATCACCTCCCTCCATATCAGGGCGAGGGTTAAGAACAGAAGCATGCAAGTAATTACGATACCAATGTTCAACGTACATGAAATATGCAAAATAGGCTAACTTAAGGGCTTGAAATACATTCTTTGTCATCGATTAGCATACCTTCCGCATTACAGATCGACATCTGCTTATCCCTTGCTTTGTTTTTCTGCACGCGGGTCGGCGAGGTCGTGCAGGCCGACTAAAGTTGCACTATCCTTTATGTTAAGAAGTTGTATGGGTTTCAGACTGCTTGACTAATGGAAAAATCTACATTCCTTTGCGTTACCCAGTCTCTGCATATCATTTTTAAACACCATTGCAATTAACTATTTTAAATCTCATCCTCAAAACCTTTGCATGTTACAAATCCCTAATAGTAAAAGCTAAAAACAAATGGGCTAGGTGGCGTTAAGGATCTGTTCTGTGGTTGGCTACTGAGCAATGCTGGGATAGCCGCATACAAAATAAAGCCAGACAAATGACATTTTTAGCTTTGAAGTTCTGGGCCAAAATTCCATACAAGCTTTACTTTTGCGTGATTTGGCTAATTTTTTAGTTTTCGTTTTAGAGCTTACGGTTTACCTGAAGGGAGGGTCACTGATTGACATGAAGTGGTCAAAGTGAACATATTTTGGTTTCTTAGACCAGGAAGTAAATTTCCATTCGGTTGGTTGAGGGGTACTCTCTAAACTCTGAGAAGCATGCTTATCAAATCTAGGCAAAACCCATTTTTGGCGCATTTTAGGGTATTTTTAGCCATTTCCCCATTCAACCCCGCTAACTCCACGAAGCATCACAGATCCCTGTCGCAGATGCAAAACCAGTCTACTGGTATTTGATTTGTAGCTCTGACTTGAGAACAAACCGAAATAATTGGTGGGCTGGTTAACTCATGTGTCGCCAGGCGTACCCGTTAAAAAGTTTCCTCTCGGCTCCTGCCCGGTGCGGGCCATGGCTGCTTTAGCGGGCAAGGACAAAAATCCGTATGTCGAACTCTAAGCCGGGTGCGAGACGCTTGGCAATGGCAAATGTTGTGTGTCATGTGAGCTGTGCGTACAGACATGTAACAGCGTTGTCAAGGGGTCAAACATAAGCTGTCCCGCAGTGCCCGGCGCAGCCTATTTCCAGCGAAGGATGCGCAACTTTTGTCTCTGGGAGGGCGGGCGTGGGGGTGGGGCCGCAAAGCAGTAGCATTTTCCTTGAGCTAAGCACAGCTTGCACAAAATTTACTGCAAAGCGTCGGAATGCAAGCGATTTTCAGCACACAGTACTTTGAATCAAACGCTGCTCATTACATAACAATGGGAAAGGTGTGAGTAACATGGGAAAAACCCCAGTGAAAGTGCAAACTGTACAATTTTTGGTCGGCTGGTCTGAAGCGATGGACAGGAAATACTGAAGTCCTTCCAGCACGCTTAGTCTGACGCTGCAGACCAGCATTCCTTTTTCGTGATACGAGCTTGTAATGCCATAGCGTTTCTCAGTAATTAAAGCGACGTTGAACTCTTCTTTACAGCGAAACGGCAATAATGCCTGAAACAGCCTTTACTCCTAATTTTTTCTCCGATCCAACTTTCCCCAATAATGTTGCCATCTTTCACTGCAACAAATCCGTGTTTTGCGAAGAAGTCCAAGGTTTCTGAGGACGTCTCTATATTTTCTGCCTGACTTAAGCCAGCCCGGTAGTCTCGATCAAGACTTCGATGATTTCCCCAGAAGTTCGGGAGATGTCCGGATCGTGTGGTTCTCAGACAGCCATCGACCCAGCATACGTTGCAGCGATCGACTGAGTTCGTTGAGAGGGCAACCATCGGACCGAACGCTCAATGAGCAGGCATGTGGTTTTAGTGCATTGGCATCCCATGCAGCACCGCTGCTCTTGCAAGCTGGTTACAGTTTTTGCTGTCATTTCTCACTGAAAGTATTTCGCCCAACGTAAAACACATAGGTTCTAAAACCAGAGACCAGTCTTGCGCTTAGGTGTCCCTATAATGCTGCACTGACATAGTAAATCATCATAAGGCATTTATGCAGGTTTTAGGTTTTTATGCAGGTTGTTGGCGTTGTACGTGGGAACCTGCATCGGTGGTAGCCTCGTAGCTCGAGCGCCGCTCTCGTCTGAACAGTGAGTGGCATATGACCTTGGTAGTTAAAATTTAGAGCTGACATTATAATTACCAACAAAGCAAGGTAATCTGCAGCAATGTCACGGCCAACGATATTTAGATATCTGGCAACGCCACACACAGTGCTTAACACAAATTGTAACTTAAAGGTATCCCTGTTCTGCAGTTTGCATTGACAAAATGTAATTATTCATTATCAGACCACATTTCATCCCTCTGATATAAGTCTGAATGACCTTGAAAAATGTAGAGCTATTACTTTATTTCATCGTAATAGCATTTGAGGGAATTGAGAAAGTTACAGCATGATCTCCGAACCCACTTGGTATCTTTATCTTGGCAGGAAGTGTTTTCTTTGCGTCGCATCATAATTCTGTAAAGTTTTGTTGTTATCGTAGACCCTGTGGTAGGTGAATGTTCGCTACTGACATTGTTATTATGACAGTGTCTTGGTCTGTGGCGTTGTGGACAAAGAAGATGCGCAGTAGAGCTACTCCAGTCGGTCGGTATTTATTGATCCCGAAGAGCCGGTTCTTAGATCACAAGTCTTCCTTTTAAGAGCAATAAATGAAACAGCTTTCTTGGTAGGCGACAAGTTCAGGTGATCCAAGCGAATTACAGCACTATCTTGACGTTATAGCCGGCCCGACCGCGACAGGCGGTCAGGGCGACATCCGTGTCACAGCTGTCACGCTACTGCTATATACTCGAATGGAAACCCGAGTCACCTCTATAGATGAGTCCTAATCTAACACAATTATCCGTGGAGGATAAATGTGCCAATAAAACGTGGGTCCTAACTTTATCATTTCGTTTCGACTCAGTTGTGAACCCAATTTCGACGTCCCACAACGCAATCGTCAATTACATTTCAAACAATTTGAAAGAAAACTGTGTGTTAGTTCAAAATCATCATGTAGCAAAAGCTGTGAACGTACATAACGCGTACAGTTTTTTCTAATGGGATTACGTCAGTTTTTAAACTTGTGCAAGGAGTTACTTGATGTTTCGAACTTTTGTAAAGACCGCGAAATCGTATCTCTCCTGGTGCTCCAGTAGATCGCGAGGTGGGCCATGTGCTCCGGTAGGCCATGTGGGACAGAGTTTCTCCTGCTGGTCCTGCTGACCATGTAACCATGTTGCTCCCCAGACCGTGCGGTACCTTACTTGCTTTCCTGCATACCCCATGCGTGCGGTGTGGATCAGTAGAGCCGGTGTGCTGCGGCTGGTCGATGGCGTTGATCCCGTGGCTTCCGCAGAGGTATAACGGCTCTGCAGAGGCATAACGGCTCTGCTCTCATGGCATAACGGCTCTGCCCCGCCAACAGGTGCGACGAGCCGTCCAACAGACGGGCTTCGTGCGCCAGAAGCGGGGCTTCCGGCCGCTTCGGCTGGAGCGGCGCGGCTACAGCCCGCTCCGCGTCGAGAACCTGGTGCAGCTCAAGCCGCACAGAGACCCCACCGACCCGTTCTTCAAGTACCAGTGGTACCTGGTGAGTGCCCGCTGGAACAGACTCTGCAGCCGAGCGCTGACTCGCTGCCGATTTGCTCTGCTCCGGGAGCCACGCGCCAGGCTTTCCCGTTCAATGGTCATTCATGCCAGAGGTGTCGCACATAATTGGATGTGCAGCTACGCCAAATGATGCAGCCACATTTTTAGCTCGCGCTGGATTATGCCGGAAGGCATAGCTCCTGCATAAAGTCGGAAGGTTCCATGCCGCCCGAGTCACTTCGGCAGTTCGCTAGGGCCTGAGTGGCAAACTTCTGGGTAAAATTTCGTATGTGCTGTGCTGTAGACACAATATTCTGTGATGTTTGAGACCCCGGTAAGCAAGTAGCTGCAGCTTGTGACGCAGCACCTGCGTCAGAACTCCGAGGCATGCGGTGTGGATCGCCTGTGATATGAAGAGTAGGTGGAACAGAGACTCGCCACGTTCAAGTGATTTGATATCCCGTACACGGCTGCCTCGGCCAACTCATGGGCTTCGTCTGCTTGTGTGGCTAACTGCATTACATATGCATACATGCGTCACCAATACTCGGCTGAGTTTTACGTGGTCACCCATGCACCACCAAAATCAAAGCAATTTTTGTTCTGTAAAACCCTAACCGCCTTGGAAAGTGACTAATTTGGCGCGTGATCGAGAGATCAAGGGATGAAGTCTTAATTCTGTTTGATGTTAAATTAAGGGTGAAGCACATCCCCGCCAAAACAGCACATCTACCTAATCTATATTTTGAGGCCAGGCGGAAGCACTCTGATGCATCAAACGCTGACATCAACTCCCTTTCAGTTTTCGCCGCCTCTTTTTCCAGAAAAACACCGGGCAGAACGGCGGTAAACCAAAGCTCGACCTGAACGTGGAAGCAGCATGGGCGCAGGGCATCACCGGGCGGAACGTCACCACTGCCATCATGGACGACGGCGTCGACTACATGCACCCGGATCTGCGAGAACACTTTGTGAGTCCCGCTGCCAGCCGTCTCAGTCGGTGGTAGCTGGCGCGTTATCACCAGCTCGAGCTGTCATTGGCTGCCGGAGTCAGGCTGTGATCGTCAACTCGAGCCGTCATTGGTTGCATATTTCTTCGTTCCGGCTTCCATCTGGTCGTTTTAGAGATAATTGGCCGCGCAGCTGTGTATGATAGGCGAGAGCGGTTCGAAACTGCCGTCGCGAGGCCGATCGAGAAAAAGTGTTTGTGAGTACAAAACGTTGTCACTTGCAACATTGACTTCCGACTCACACGAAATTGAAGGAAATTATACTTTTCTTTGATGTGTTACAGTTTTACGATATTTTCTTTGTGTCAGACATTCACTGTCCATGCCGTAATTATGGTGTTAAGTTTTTTGCTTTAACACGTAGACATATGGGAAATAATGACACCCACAAATATGACATCACTTTTAATGATACTAAATATAACGATACTGTCGGTCATAATGTTACAGTTATAGTTAATGCTTCAACTAATCATCAAAGAAGTGACGATATTTTCATCGTTCTGCGTCCGCAAGTTAGAGATTATCTTGTAGGGCCGAATTTTCTTCTTCTTCCAAGGAAGTATTAAGTTTCGAAAACATCGTTTGAATGTTATATCAGAACCGTCGACTGATACGATACCCCTGTTTTCCGACCGATATGATACCCTGTTTTCCGACTGATACGCGCTGCATCTGATTTTTATAGTTCTAACACTGCTTTCAGGTCGCTTTAAGGTATCATAAGATGTAAAATGAGCCTGGCCCTGAATAGCTGAACAGTTATAATGTGTTTTAATTATCATTAGATTTTGAAAATAGTTTTGAATTTATTATATTCATGAACAAAAACGATACTGACCGAAGGATCCACTTACATAGCTGTTGTAAACGCTTGCTTATTAGCCTGACCTGACCTGAACTTCGATAGCCATTGCATCAGGTACGAGAGATCTAACGTGAACTCATATAAAACATCCTAGGCCATTTGAGCAACCTTAATATTTTCCAACATGTGACCCGGACCTTGGCCGACCCTTGAGAGGTCACGACCATGGGCGATCAGTGCGTCTGGAGGCGTGGTTCCTCACTTTTGCGGTGTTTCTAGAAGCGCGGAGGTGTTACATTCTCTTACACTGGCTAGAGTCAATAAGTAACAATTTACGATTCAAAGAAGGTGTGCAAGGTGGTGTTACCATGTCAGCAATCTGTTTCCAGCCTTCGGTGCCCACATCGCCTTTAGCATGAACAGCCAACTTCCATAAAGCGCCCCGCGCCCACAGTGCCGTACTTGAAAAGGCGGCCATGCATTTTGCGCTTTTTCGAAGCCAATTAGTGATTTGCAGGAATGACTTTGGAATCAGAGCCCTTGCCGTGAACAGCTTGCTGCAATGATCTTATTCCTACCGACCCCGTTGGTATCGATGCTGCCACCGCACTAACCCAGTCTGACATGCCATTCTAGGCGAAATATTTCAACGTGGCATGTAACGTCGTGTCTCAGCCGCCCCGTGCCGCCTGAGTCGCTCATGACACAGCCGTTAGCTGAGCGTTTCAGACGAACCAAGTGATCAGCACGGCGTTAGGGACACCAACCCACGTGGCGTGTTACTCTAGGGGCCAGGCTCCTCGCAAAAGTCAAGGTGATGGCGCAGTTGCGCAAACATTTTGTTCAAATCTGTCGCGCAATGCCTCTAAAAAGTCGATGCATAATACATTCGAAATTGTTCTCTGGGTTATTTTTAATGCTCTCCATTTGTATCAGACGCTCATTTTTTACCTTCATCGTCTTTCAGTTTAGCTTGCAGCATACCTTATTGGAAAGCTCAGTGCTGGGCTATTTGGCTGGTTTTCACAGATTAACCGGCCATCCCCTTCTCACACGCTCCGCTCAATAGCTGTGCTCCAAATGCATCCTCTTCGTCATCTCACTGCGCACATTGCGTTTTTTCTGGAACATCGTGCATGTGTTGATTGGAACAACACCAGCCCATGAAGTCAGAAAGTTCGCATATCCGTGAAAAGGTGATTTCCGAGCAGATCGTTTTGGTAGCGTTATTAAAATTCTGCTGCTTCAAATGGCTGATATTCACTTGTGTACATGTGGACTCCATGGAAATTGCTATGCACTGGTTGTCGTAATGCGACAAATGCGATAGAAAGGGTAGTCAGCATATCGGCGTGAATATAAGGTCCCTTTACATACCATGATGTGCGAGGCATATCTTGATTTCGTAGCACGTATCATGCGAGAATTTCATGAACTCTTTTCAATCCTGCCTGTCCTTGCGTGTCATCCTCACATCACCTGACTTATCACGCCATTTCCCTCGCCGTCCCGCCTCAGTCCCGCACTGACCACACCATCTCCCTCGCCGTCCCGTCTCAGTCCCGCGCTGATCTTACTATTTCTCTCGCCGTCCCGCCTCAGTCCCGCGCTGATCTTACCATCTCCCTCACCGTCCCGCTTCGGTCCCTGCGCTGATCTTACCATGCTCCCTCACCGTCCCGCTTCGGTCCCGCGCTGATCTTACCATCTCCCTCACCGTCCCGCCTCAGTCCCGCGCTGATCTTACCATGTCCCTCACCGTCCCGCTTCGGTCCCGCGCTGACCACACCACCTCCCTCGCCGTCCCGCCTCAGTCCCGCACTGATCTTACTATGTCCCTCGCCGTCCCGCCTCAGTCCCGCGCCGATCTTACCATGTCACTCGCCGTCCCGCCTCAGTCCCGCGCTGATCTTACCATGTCCCTCACCGTCCCGCCACGGTCCCGCACTGACCACACCATGTCCCTCACCGTCCCGCCACGGTCCCGCGCTGACCACACCATTTCCCTCACCGTCCCGCCTCAGTCCCGCGCGGTTTGTGCTCCATATGGCGCCGGATGTGGTCTGCACAGTGCTCGCCGCCGGGCAGAAACAGAATCAGCATGGCGTGACTGCAAACCAGGCGCTCAGCAATAAGCCAATCAACGTCAAATAAGCCCGCCTGCTAGGTCACACCAGAACAAATATCACGGCCAGGGCATGAGCAATGCCATCGGCCCGCCAGTGGTCTGCGTTAATCAATACCATGTGGGCTGTACTACAGACCACGTTGGCGCGCGCCGCCTGGCCCGTGTTTGGATGTTGTGAAACCGTGAGAAAAGCTCTTTACGCATGCTAGGCGTGAGCTGCTTTGCCCTGCCCTTCGGAATGCTGGCTTTGCTCTTTCTGTGGTCTCGCTCTGAGGTTTGAGCGAGATGGGATGTTCAAGAAGCCGGACGGAAGCGAATATGACAGAAGGAGACGTAACCAAATGGTCAGCTGCTGACATAACGGTTGAGTGCTTGCAAATATCCGCGAAGTGCGCTGCATGTCCAACTGCTGACAACGGCTGAGTGCTAGCGAGTGTCCGCGAAGAGCGCCGTATGGTCAACTGCTGACATAACGGCTGAGTGCTAGCGGGTGTCCGCGAAGAGCGCTGTATGGTCCACTGCGACATACGGCTGAGTGCTAGCGAGTGGTCCGCGAAGAAGAGCGCTGTATGGTCAACTGGACATAACGGTGAGTGCTAGCGAGTGTCCGCGAAGAGCGCTGTATGGTCCACTGCGGACATAACGGCTGAGTGCTAGCGGTGTCCGCGAAGAGCGCTGTATGGTCCACTGCGGACATAACGGCTGAGTGCTAGCGAGTGTCCGCGAAGAGCGCTGTATGATCAACTGCGGACATGACGGCTGAGTGCTAGCGAGTGTCCGCGAAGAGCGCTGTATGATCAACTGCGACATGACGGTGAGTGCTAGCAAGTGTCCGCGAAGAGCGCTGTATGGTCAAACTGTGACATAACGGCTGAGTGCTAGCGAGTGTCGCGAGAGCGCTGTATGGTCAACTGCTGACATAACGGCTGAGTGCTAGCGAGAGTGTCCGCGAAGAGCGCCGTATGGTCCACTGCGGACATAACGGCTGAGTGCTAGCGAGTGTCCGCGAAGAGCGCTGTATGGTCCACTGCGGACATAACGGCTGAGTGCTAGCGAGTGTCCGCGAAGAGCGCTGTATGGTCCACTGCGGACATAACGGCTGAGTGCTAGCGAGTGTCCGCGAAGAGTGCTGTATGATCAACTGCGGACATGACGGCTGAGTGCTAGCAAGTGCCTGCTAAGAGTGCTGTATGATCAACTGCGGACATAACGGCTGAGTGCTAGCAAGTGCCTGCGAAGAGTGCTGTATGATCAACTGCGGACATAACGGCTGGGTGTTAGCGAGTGCCTGCGAAGAGTGCTGTCTGCATTCGCTACTTCAAAGCACTGACTTACATCCAGCTGATGAAGGGGCCAAAGTTTAAAGGGGCCAACGAAAAACATAAACTGCATGCAAACGGATTCCAAAATGTTGCCAAAAATTACCTGCCAGTTTAGAAAATGGAGCGATTCAGGGCCTTTCCGAACAAATTTGTGGAAAGTTGACTTTACACTGTAGCCTGGATATGACAACGCACCATGTGAGGGGAATCATTTGTAAAATTCTTAGTTACCAGCCAATAACAAGTAGCGCTCCCTAGATGCATCACCAGGCTCGGAACAGAGTACATATATAATGGCAAACTATAAGCAGACGACTGGCAGGGGAAAGTCAGGATCTGCTGCCTTTACGCAGGCCACATAAATAAGACAGAAGCACTAGCCTTAATCCTCGGAAAAACCAGGAGAATGGAGATATAGTTAGGTTGATATTTCGGCAACATGCCTTTCTCGAAACAATAGCAGAAGTGAATTCAGAAGCGGAATAGAAAAATAATTCGCTTCTGCCATTATTTCGAGAAAGGCATGTTGCCCAAATATCAACCTAACTGTATCTCTATTCTCCTGGGTTTTCCGAGGAATAAGGCTAACACTGCTGTCTTATCTATGTGACTCATGTTCCTCGCTAATGCACTAAACAACTTTATGCAGGTCAAATAGCACCTGCTTCAGAATGTTGCTAACGTCAGGGTCGCACGACTCCATGCCTCATCGCCATCACATCTGAGCCCACACACTGGTTCGTTCATCAACCGTCTAACAAGTGGTATTAATTCCTCATTCTGTGACGCACTACACATCGCCAACCTCCGATGCTGGTGATGGTGTTGCGGGTCCGTGTATTGTGCACCTCCCATCACTGATGCCGATATGGTGTTGAACGTCACTCACAGTTGATCTTGCTGGGCTGTTGATCATAGTGTACCGCTGATTGCTGAGGCAGCAGAGACTGCTCATCACGGATTTGTCAGTGCATGCTGCTCTTCACTGGTTCTTCACTTCAACAAAACTTCTCTTCCAGAACGCAGAGGCCAGCTATGACTTCAGCAGTAACGACCCTTTCCCGTATCCTCGGTACACCGACGACTGGTTTAACAGGTGAGTGACGTACGCTATAGAGCACCGATACATTCCTGTCAGGTCAAGCACGCGACGTGCTCAGCTGGGGCCCCAATGTCTGCTGAAACCCAACATGCTGAGCGATGACCTCGGAGTATGCTGCTCAGACGGACAGAATGGTTTGTCGACTGGGACCTGGCCTGTTGTCGTGGGGTCCCTGTAAAATACACATCAGAGGGGCCGACTGAGGGATTCCTATGTAGGTCATCGATTCGCGCGGTCTACTGGATTCAGTTTGGGCACCGCACACAATGCACGCTACGGTAGACGTAGGAAAAAGTCCTCACCATCCACAGTCGAATACCGATATCGTAGGATACCGATATCGTATCGACTCTTATACGATATCGAATACCGATATCATATCGACTCTTTTGAGCAAACGTTGGGGAGGGACACTTTGTGAGTTGTTTTGGAACGAAAAAAGTGTTGATTACATACCCGCCCTTGGTGCTGAGAAAATTTTACAATTTTGTTCGTGTTCGAGTGATCGAACACGATTCCTGGGGAAAAATACCAGCGCATACGCTTGCGTGCTTGTCCCAAGTCGATACACATTTTGCCAGTCCCGGTTGGTACATATCACCTGGCCCGTACCGGGATGTAATCGGATGCCAACGGGCGGCTAGGAACACCCGGTGACCGTGCCATGTGACGTCACTGTCTGGTGACGCACGCCGGCCCTGTTTGTTCGGACGATGAGCAAACAGACCGGCCAATGCGCTCCCCACGCAGCGGCGGAGAAGCCTGGCAGCAGTTCCGCTCCTTCATCACGAACGCCATTGGACTGGGAGATGTTGACAGTTCATTTCGTCATGAACTGTTTGGAACCACGTGGAGATGGGGATGTGGCACGGAGAACAAATGTTTGTGTGAGAAATTAGAAAATGCGACGGCCCTTGACGAGGCCATGTACGACGTGATAACGCCTCCAGTTTCGGTCCCTTGCGGATATCGCACATTTCATTTCCTGCGCGTTAATTTTCCTGTGCTGTCCTTCAAATCTTGTAGGCATGGTGTGCTTCAAACTCAGCCAAACCTCAGTTTACCAAAGCGTTTGACGGCAGTCAATTACGTGCGGTCCCATTTGCGGTTCTAAACACGCGACTACCAGTGATTGCTGGCTGTTGCAGCTCGGTGATGATGCCGATCCGCACCGGCCGTAAACACGTGCCACGAATCATAAGGTGTAGGGGGCCGTGCTTCGCTGCGTATGCTGCCAGCAAATAGCCTGCACGTGGCCGGTTCGGTCGTGCCGGCTGTCCGGGGAGCAGCAGCAGGCCGTCCGGGCTGAGGATGGCGGCGCGTCGGTGAATTTATAACGATTGCTGCCGGCGCGGTCGGCCGGGCGGTGAGGCTTCAGGCGGCCAATAGTTCCCGACACTGAGCTGAGAACCCGGGCCAAGAGAACTCGGGCCAGGAGAAGCTGGGCCCACGAGACCAATGAGAACATGTCTAGGGCGGTGGTGGGTGGGTGATTCAGATCACATGCGTCTGTCGGAAAGGCTCGTCGTGAAGGTCATATTTAGAGCGCGATTTGCAACGATGAATGCCTGACTCTCTCCCTCTCTCTCTCTCTCTCTCTCTCTCTCTCTCTCTCTCTCTCTCTCTCTCTCTCTCTCTCTCTCTCTCGCTCTCTCTCTCTCTTTCTCTCTCTTGCTCTCTCTCTCTCTCTCTCTCTCTCTCTCTCTCTCTCTCTCTCTCTCTCTCTCTCTCTCTCTCTCTCTCTCTCTCTCTCCCTTTCTCCCTCTCCCTCGCTCTCTCTCTCCCTCTCTGCGCTCTATCTCCCTCTATTCCTATTGATTAATTTCACAATATGGCTAATGGTAACTTTGCAGGAAACCTTGATGATCTCTGCCCCCCATATATGCTCAACTTGGTCAGCAATAATGACTGCCGTTTCCCTCCAGGCGCCCACTCTGAGCCCAAGGCCATCACTGCCGGCGCAGCACCAAGCCGCCTGCCAGCACCGGCTGGCGCGGCATTTATGACGAACCAATCAAATATACCGAGCAGCTGTCATTGATAGCGTGGGGACGGGTCGGGGTCACCCAGATTGCGTTCATAAACCATCTGCGGGTGCCGCGCCACCACCAGGCGCCGCCATAACGCCCTTCCTCCGAGACGGCTTTTGCAGCGGCACGTGTCCTCGATCGCCTGCAACCAAGCAGGGACCCATGGGGCTGAGCTGTCAGCAAAACAGGATAAAACCCTCATTCATTTGATATAATCCGATGCACATGCATGCGGCACATTAACAGTGATAAAGACCATCATGACAGGGATGGATAGCCTGTCGGAGCGATGACATTCTTGCGTGCTTCGACCTTAAAAAGGTGGGGAACGGCGTAAGAAATACCGATGTTCAGATTTTATTGCCGCCAAAAGTGTTTTGTTCATTAGCGTTGTGTTGTTTGATGCTGGTTGCAGTAGATCGTGTGCATTTCGAAATAATCGCTGGTCACGCCGCTATCTGCTGATCGCCGGCACACAATGCGCCACCAGTGTGTCGGGGACATTAGATAGGACCTGACGTGAGCCGCACACCACCGCCGAGCCGAGCCGCGGCCACCGCCGTATGCCAGATGTGATGCACACCACACCGCGGCCAACCGCTGCATGACAGATGTAATGCACACCACGCCGCAGCCACCCGCCGTATGACAGACAAAATGCACACGACGCCGCGGCCATCCGCCGTATGACACACGACGCCGCGGCCACCCGCTGTACGACAGATGTGAAGCACATCACGCCGCGGCCATGCGCCGTATGACACACAACGCCGCAGCCACCCGCTGTACGACAGATGTGAAGCACATCACGCCACGGCCGTCGCCGCATGACGCACGACGCCGCAGCCACCCGCTGTACGACAGATGTGAAGCACATCACGCCACGGCCGTCGCCGTATGACACACGACGCCGCAGCCACCCGCTGTACGACAGATGTGAAGCACATCACGCCACGGCCGTCGCCGCATGACACACGACGCCGCAGCCACCCGCTGTACGACAGATGTGAAGCACATCACGCCACGGCCGTCGCCGTATAACAGATTTAATGCACACGACGCCGCGACCACCCGCTGTATGACAGATGTAATGCAGACCACGCCGCGGCCACCGGCCGTATGACAGATGTGACGTACATCACGCCGCGGCCACCCGCCGCATGACAGGTGTGATGCACACTACGGTGTCCCATGTTGCATGGCTGCTGGCCTTTCGGTTTTTAGGTGTTTAGGGTGCGCGGCCGATGAGATAGTGTTGTCTTTAAAAAAACGCTGTCTTCGCGACCACGCCCCGTGAGGAAACAGTTGACTACGAATGACCACGCCCCGTGCGGAAACAGCTGCCTACGAAACCCAGTGCTGAAGTCCGTGAGCCGTAATAATGCGAACCTCCTGGGACGTTAGCCAAAGAAGAGCCAAGAGATGGTCTGTCTAATGTTGACGGTGAGCTCTGGAGCATTCCGAGCAGGGACCATCCTATCCTAGATGATCTGTAGGGCGGTCCATACAGCACTGCAGCACTGTCCCACACAGCACTCTCGGCCAAGGTCGTGGTGTAAAATAGACTATGCTTGGCTTGTGCAATACGGATATCACGTCTGAAAATATCAAATTTGGAACACAGGCGTTGACACGCAGGCATTGCAACGCTCCAGTTACATACCAGCCTCCAGTTAATACATTAAACAAATTTCGATGGTCCATTGCTCGGAAAGTGCTGCCAGACGACTGCCTTTTCCTTTTCTTATTGGAATGGTCTCCTGCGACAGCGATAAGTGTTGGCAGAAACCGACTCAGCTCCAAAAATAATGTAAACTCGCCTAATAACATATTTGAATTCTCACTGTATGAAACGTGTGCATCAAATAGTTTTCATTTCCCTACTTTCGAATCGTTTCCAGACCCATGTCACACCGTCTGCAGCAGAGTCGGGATCAATGTCCCCAGGACTAGTGAAACTTCCGTTCCTGAGACCGGAAATCAGCAATACCTTTTTCGTTTAAATAGCTGTACAATCAGCAATAAGTCTGCTAATACTTGTTGACATGGTATATTTATGGCACGTAGATTCTTGATGATTTCAGAATGGTTTTTCCCTACACTCTCCATGCCTTTTCGTATCTTCAACAGTTCACGCAATATGCACAGCCCTATTGCGAGATGATAAATATCTCTGCTAGAAGAGCCGAGGGTGTTACATTTTTTGTGCTCATGAAATCGATACGAGGGCAGGGCTAAAAGTTAGTCCGTTTTGCTTGATCATGTGTATTCACCGTTTGATATCCTTTACCTTGCAGTTGTTCTAACATGATCTGTAGGTGTCGTTAAGCATCTCCAGGATTGTTCATTGCTCTGGCAGTACGCGCCGAGCTGTTGTCTGGTATTATGCTTTTGACGCCGGTCTTCCAGGGCTATTTTGAAAAGCGTATTGCTCTATCAGTTGTGTTCCATAACCCCGAACACTTAACAGTGTAATGCGGAGGACTGAAAATAATAAGGGGTACGCGGGATATGTTGTAAGCTTTTGCAGCAATCCCTAACGCTTCGATAAGGGGGGGGGGGGGACGTCACCATCCTGGTCATCTTGGTGGAGCCAGAATTTGCGGGCATGAGACGCTTTCCCTCCAGGCGGATTCTTGGTGAAGCGTTCGGCCATCATCTCTAAAGATCTAAACCGGGAACTAAATTATCGCTACATTCAAGGCACACATGCAGGTACCCCCAAAGATAATCGTATATGGATTTTAATCAGTGTATCCGCCTGAGGACTGTGCTGTTCTGTTTTGATAAACTTACGCCCAGGTCTGGACATAATCAGTAGCCAGCGGCCTGTCCGCGTCTCTCAAGCTCAAACACTAACATTATGCATATAGGCAAGGCAGTGTTGTTGGGCGTGTTCCTCGCAGAATAACCAGGAGAAAGAAGAGATGGATGTATTGATATTTCGGCTGTGTGCCTTCACGGAAACAAATGTTTGTAGTGAATTGAAAATTGCCTGCCAATTCCACTCGATTTTTCACTTTTTTTTACACGAACCGCAGTTTTTACAAGCCACCAATATTCAGCGGATAAAACAAGGAGAAATTACAAGCGATTACCAGGATGCAGGGTAAATGCAACTAGGGATTTAATTCCGCGAAGGATACGTATGCATGCAAACGGCTCCAATTAAGCAGGCATCGTGCATCACGCGTCAGGTCAGGTCGCCGATTTCTTATGGTTTCTCATTTGCATGTCAATGTGAACATCTGCGGAAGAGCTTCCGGACGGCTGATTCAGCTGAGCTTGATTTGCCCGTGCTGCGCAGTGGAAGCCGGCTCCGTTCGTCGATCTGCCACTAGGGGATGTTATTAAACCATTTTAGATAGCTTCATTGAGTTGTTGCATTGTTTGCTGCTTGCAGACCTTACTTCTTGCGGACCTCGCACTTGATCAAGCATTAAGGAAGCATCAAAACTGAAGGCGAGACCAGAGTCTATGAAATAATATGGATATGTCAAAATGTCACAAATGCAGGTTGCGAAAATGTGCTGGAACACTGCCGACCAGGCTGGAATCTGGCATCTCTCACAAGCTAACGGCAGATGTCAATCCCGCGTAATGCCAACTGACTGCTGCTTTGGCGGGACGGTCAAGTTTGAGTATTTTTGCCCGGCGACAGCGAACAACATTGATTCTGACAAGATTTAAACAGAAGACGAGCCCGCTATCAATTTTTGCGCTGAGCCCAGTGCTCAGATGAAATCTCATCCCTTGCTTACTGCCCTCTCAGCTTCTGGTTTCAACTGTATACCGGTCTCTGGGTCTTATTGCATTAAAGTTACTGCCCGGAGAGGCCAGCCACAGAGAAAAGACACCACTCGCCCACCTTTTTACAACACGGGGAGCTTGGCTGGAGCTCCAACGCGCCGACCTTTTCACTTCTCTGGAATGGCTCGGTGCTGATGGGGCTTCTGGCTCGCGTTCTAGGCGTCTTCAGTCATGCGGCATGGCGGTGGCTACGCTGGCACATGCATTTCCAGGGCAGCTGCCGACCCTCGGCCTCTCATCGGCTTATCAAAACGAAGTCGACCTCCATCCCATCGTCCTGTCTCTTAGACTAACGGGCGCGCAGGGAGGTATAGAAAAATGAAAATACAATTCAGCACAGTATCTTGTATATAAAGGGCTGTATCTTCCGTAGATAAGAGGGAATGCTAGCCCCACAGCGCTCGTTTATGTGCTAAGCAAGGAGCGATAGGCCTGGCGTAGCCTACACAAGCGGGGTGGTGTCGTTTTGTGAGGTCAGCAGCATGCCCTACGGGACATCCCGCGGTGTCAAGGCCTTTTGGACCATCCACGCTCAGCGCTCCAGAAAGTGGAGTCGCTCAAAGGTCGTCAATATTAACTCTTCTGGCAAAGACACCCACTTTGCCGGTGAAGACCTGTGCTAACCTCTGACTCTGCTTCAGTTATGGTGCTCGTGCCAGAGGGGCCTGTGACAACCTCTGACTCTGCTTCAGCTATGGTACTCGTGCCAGAGGGGCCTGTGATATCTCCTGAATCTGTTTCAGTCACGGGACGCGTTGTGCCGGGGAGGTCTCCGCCGCCAGAGACAACGGCGTGTGCGGAGTTGGCATCGCCTACAACTCACGGGTCGCAGGTCAGTGGCTGGCGCGGCGGGGTCATGACCCGCCCCCTGCCCACGGAGGTGGCACGGGCGGAACAAAAGAAGCTAAGCCTGAACCTTTGCCCTGTGAACGGGTGCCTGAGACGCTCCCTAATGTTTCATTATTGATTTCTGAACGTGCTGAGCAGTATTAGAATGTATACTATCCGATTTTCTATCATTTTTAAACATGTGAAAATATGAAGCTCTGACCTTAACAGTGCTGGTGTATGCCCTCTTTCAGACGTCAAATCATTGATATTTTGTTCAAGGGCAACACATAACGTTTATTTCTTGCAGAAAATACATCCAAAAGATGTTTCTGGACGTTTTTGCATTCTGCCACTCTGATATACAATAATAGCGTGCTGGTTTTGCATAACCAGGTTATCCAATGTCAGGCTAGGTGAAACGCTGATTTTGGTATCAAATTTGACAGTTTGATATTCATGCGATTAAAACTTCATTCACGTATATCCTAAAGCTTTGGAAAGCCATTAAAACTTGTTTGGTTCTGCGGAACGCCTCTAGAACGTTCTGTGTTCAGACCGTTCTGTAAAGAGAGTCTACAACACCCTTCTGCATTATCGTAGCATGCTTGTAGCTCTTGGGGCAATGGAAAACGTTCATTAAGTGCTAATTTGACTCAGTGCAACCTGATTCAACAGTGCATGATCATATTCACCAGCGCTCAGTTTCATACGACCTGACTGAACCGTGCAAGGTCACATTCGCAAGAGCTCCGTTGCATCTGCCTGATGTCGTTTGACGAGGCCTTTCATTGCTATTTTGCCCTGATCTCCAGCTCGCTTAGCTTTCGAGACGTCAAGAAAGTTCCGAGGTACACTCGAAGCAGGTGAACGTAACAAACTCTCGTAGGAAGGCGGTGAAGAAGCGGACAGAGGTACCGCTTTTTCTTGCAATGGTTGGACACGGGCCTCCGTGCTTTCGAAGCGAGACAGTTTACCTAGAAAACATGAGTGCGGAATCAAGTTGCTTCTTCCCGTGTTACGGAAGTGGCACTCCGAAAAGGCCATGCCATTCGCTCCCGGGGCTGTATGCCGCCCGTCCAACTCGGAGGCTGGTCTTTCTGTCGTTTCCGGCAACCTAATGACCTTTAAATGTAGGCTACGTCGGATTTCGGTCATCAAAGTGAGTTACTGGGGCTCGGCACCAAATGTCAGGTACCCCTCACTCTGCTGGCTGTGCTGTTTTCGCGAGTTGCCCGTGTTTTGTGTTGCATTGGGAATCTACTCGTCTTGTGCGGAATCCTCGTGCATTAATTGGCGGGCGGCATTTGATCAATCCTCTGATCAGCGAAATCCCACGGATGTAATCTGACGTCCTCATTAAGTTAGTCCCCACAGCCATGTTCCACGGTGTCAAACCATTGTATCTGATACTAGCCCATCGTAAACGACACAATGCTTTCGACCGATGCCAATGCTAATGCCCTATTTCGTCGCCAGACACAATCTCTTTTACATCTCGGCTATATAGCTCATTATCTTGGCCCAGAATCTCCAGGTCCCAAGCACTTTGTGAGTGCGACATACGGACCCAGAACCGATTGCATTGAGTTTGACCCATTGCGCGCCCCAGCCATCCGGGTACCGGAGACGCGGCTCTGATTGGTCCGCGCTGTGTCCCATGCACCTGGATACTGAACCAACCACGCTGCAAGACAGGTAGTCTGACTGTAGTCCGGCCACACCGCACCACAGTTATCCTTACTGTAGACCGGCCACACTGCAACACAGGCATCCTGACTCTAAACCGACCGCGTTGTGCCAAAGTATCCGGTTTTGGACCAGTCACACTGCGCACCACGGCTCCGGATGCTAAGCGAGCGGCACCGCGTCCCAGGTATTCGGATGCTGGACCAGCCGTACATGACGGACCTGATCGAGGCCAACAGCATGGGTCACGAGCCGGACCTGATCGACATCTACTCGGCCTCGTGGGGGCCCACGGACGACGGCGAGACCGTGGACGGCCCCAGAAACGCCACCATGCGCGCCATCGTCCGCGGCGTCAACGAGGTGGGTCCTGCTGGCGAACGGATCCGAGTCAGATCTGCTGTGAAGCAGGTCGGAATCAGACCTGCTGTGGAATGGGTTAGGGTCATACGTGCTAAGGGACGGGTCAGGGTCATACCTGCCGTGGAATGAACGGGTGTAGCGTTGTACGCAATGGGTTCTATGGGCTCCACAATGCTTTGTTTTGCTGTCGACTAGTCTTCCAATATTTGTAAAACTTTGCAACAAGTTCTGAATTTCATCACTGAGGAGTTATAATCTTTATTAAGCGACTTATGGCCATCCCTGTGTCTCTTTGGATCTTCTCTTGCCCGTATTCGTAATTTACAATACTCTGCAACATTTGCAAACTTTCGAAAACTGGTTTTGGGCTTTATGATCTTGAAAGATTGGTAGTGATGCTCACGATTGTTGGTGATGCCCCCTGTGACATTTAATGGCAGTAGTGCCCAATTATTCATTCAAACCGGCCAATTGTAGCGGATTCTTGCCTAAATAGCGTGTTGCATTCCATGTTCCTTTTTCTCTTGGGGTCAGACCCACTGCAGAACCGGGTCAGTGTCAGACCTGCTGCCGGTCGGGTCGGGGTGTGACCTGCTGTGGAACGGGTCAGTGTCAGGCCTGCTGCTGAACGGGTCGGGGTGTGACCTGCTGTGGAACGGGTCAGTGTCAGGCCTGCTGCGGGCCGGGTCGGGGTGTGACCTGCTGTGGAACGGGTCAGTGTCAGGCCTGCTGCTGACCGGGTCGGGGTGTGACCTGCTGTGGAACGGGTCAGTGTCAGGCCTGCTGCGGGCCGGGTCGGGGCTGGACCAATTCTGGAACGGGTCAGTGTCGGCCTGCTGCGGGCCGGACGGGGTGTGACCTGCGTAATCGGTCAGTGTCAGGCCTGCTGCGGGCCTGGTCGGGGTGTGACCTGCTGTTGAACGGGTCAGCGTCAGGCCTGCTGCGGGACGGGTCGGGGTGTGACCTGCTGTGGAACGGGTCAGTATCAGACCTCGTGTGGTACGTATCGGGGCCACACATGCCCTGGGGCAGGTCGGAGCTGGGGCCAGGGTCAGTGTCGGGCCAGACCAGGGCCGGTCAGTGTTATGCTTACTGGGGATGACGGGCCACGGTCGGGATCTGTTCCGGGCCGCATCAGGTCAGACCTGCCGTGTAGTCGATCGGGTCAGACCTGCCGTGTAGTCGACCGGGTCAGACCTGCCGTCAGACGTGCAAGGTCAGGCACGTTGTGGGACCGGCCATTGTCAGGCTTGGGCCTTGAGAGGTGACCTGAGGTGAGACGAGTCAGGCAACTAGAGCAGCTCTGAGACGGGTCAGCGTGAGGCCCCTGCTAGACAGGCCAGGGTCAGACTCACTGTGGGTGTTCAGCCGTTTATGGAACAAGATCAGTGCCAAAGCTATCACAGGCCCCGTTCAGAACAAGCCTTGCTTGACACATGGTGACATTCAGCCCCTGCAAAAAGCCTGAGTTAGGACCCATGCCATTTTCTAGCCGGGTTGCACCCCAGTCTTGGATGAGAACAGACCACCTTCAAGAGAGCCAGCGCCAGGTTAAGGCCCGATAGGACCGGACCTCCCCACCTGGAGACCCGCTCTGAAAGAAGGAATGATACGTAATTAAGACCAGAACCCGTTCGAGCTCGCATAGTGAACTCCAACCGTACTCTCAGAACAAGTAAAGCGAAGCGGCAAGCTCCATTGGGCATCACAGATGATCTGGAGTGATTAATGCAGTTATGTTGGCCGCATAGTCTAGCTGGCCTGCTTATTTCTGTACATATTTTACTGGCAACACTGCATCATTACCTGACGTGCGACATCATACTCAAAGGTACGGCATGTCATGTGATCATTTAGTCACTGATGGAATTTTAAACGCGGCGAATGAAAAAGGGCGATGCAGCAAACGTTGCTATTTTTGCATATTCTCCATCCGCCAGCAACTAATGTAGGAAAACCCAACATGTCTGCCCCGACTGCATGATCCTGGGATGGCTGCCAGTAATGACAGCTGTACTCCCTGGAGGAACAGTCATTATTAAAACTCTTACCCCCAGTGCGCGTTGTTGGCGACTGAAGTTTTTCAATCATTGAGCGCTTCATAGACTAAAATGTAATGCATATGGAGAAGTCGGAATGGTCGGTTTATCGCCAACCTGAATCTACATTCTCATTTACAGTACAGCATAAAAGTGATCTCAATAACAGCAACATTTCTTTTCGCTGAAAACAAAGTATGTGGTAGCATCGTCTTTAAGGCGCAAGTTCGTAATTTTTAAGCGATGCGAATTAGCATTTTGATTACACAGGGCTTCACTGAACTCCGTCTGGAGCCCCGCGCACTGCGGATGAGAGATCCTCTGACCCGGAAATGTTCCGAGAATTGCTTCTTGTCATTTGGGTTATCACTTGTCCCGTCCCCGTGCATGTTTTCTGAGATAAAGTATGCTTAAGAAGAATGGGCCTACCAGAAAGTGTTCCAACCTGTACTTCTCACAGAACGAGCGCAAAATATCTACTACGGAAGAGGGCAATTGTCTGGAACATCCGAAATACTGCAGTTTTGGCATTTAGCCCTCGGCCATAACGCTTCAGACAAAAACACACCATAATGGAAGCACCACTACCACGCCCTCGATTTCCATAGAGTCCACGATAAGGCACACGGTAGCATTGCTGCAGAGTAACGAGAAAATCATTTGCAAAAGAAAACTTTTTTTGCAATCAAATGGATACCAAGAACGTGCCATAGCCCAAGCAGATTTCATTCAGAAACGACTGTTCGATGGGTCGGATCCCCTTTAACGCGCGCTCGGGTGGGGGCCAATTTAACCGTTGTTTCGTTTGGTATGAAATGTTTGGCATCAGTCGTTTGGTACAGAAAAATGTCGAAGTACTTTGTAAGGTAGCTGACCTATGGCAGGTCAAAATCAAGCCATGAACTCAGCAAAGATAACTTCTAGGGAATCATTCAATATGATGCAGCAACGGAGTGTTAAACGAAGCCATGGCAACTCTGTGATAATTTCCCAGGCAACAAAACAATTGAATTGGCAAATTCCATCGACCTTGGGTCAGGTATGAGGGTCAGACCAAGGTCAAAACCAACCCGTTGTTACTCGCGTGGTTGCTATATGTGCGCTGCTCATTTCGGATTTATTGATAACAGGAACCGCATTATACAACTTGTATGGAAATCTCGAAGTTCAGGATAGGTCAGTGACCTGAAAGAACGTCGGTCAACATTTTGTTTTCAGGAACATATTACCTAGCGTAATCCTTGACACTCATTCAAATGCAAACATAAAAGTAGTCTTGTATGATTTCTGTCCCCATGACCTTCGAGAGGTCTCACAAGGTCACTGAACGTAAATTAGCATCATTGCCCTTTTGCATAGAACAAGTATCTAGCTTTACGGAGGGGGCATACAAAAGTTTAAGGTACTTTGAACACCAATATGTGATTTTATTTTGTTTGACGTTATTTGACGCCAAGGTTACAACCTAGGAATCTTCAAATTTTGCCACAAATGAGTTCAAGCATATGCCTACATACTCCGTGAATTTGGTGTCTCTAGTTCTCTTACTTTCTGATATATCAGGAGGTTGAATTGACCCCCGCGCGAAGGGCATTCAGCTGGCCACCCGGGCACGTGACTAACAAACAAGTGAACCCAGCGCACATTTTCCGTCGCAAAGTGGCGTGTTCCTTTCATCACGAAAGGCTGTCATCAGGCGTGTCGACCTTTTTGGCCTGCGCTTGATATGCTGATGCTATGCATGGACGGCGGGCGTCAGGCGTATCACCCATACCCGGAACCGGGTCCCCCGGGTCACCATGGCCGCTGCTGCGATCTCAGAGGCGGCGGCGTAGCTGCATAATAGCGCGTGTCTGCTGGTCATGAAAGGAGTTCTGCCGGCTGGCGTTCCTGGGTCAGGGCGTGATTTCGGCAGACGCTTATAGACGAAGGGGTGGGCGGTGCACCCGAGTGTGTAGGATTCTTGACCTTTATTTCAGGAGGATAAGGTGATGCATCAGCGTATTTACGGCGCGCGATCCAACCACATTTTGCGTTGTTTGAGGAGGAGACGCGATTGATCAGCAAAGCGGGGCGTAGGTTTCCTCCATGGATCTCCCAATATCTACGCATAGTCCATGCATAAATGCAAACAGTGCACGGCAAGATATACTTCTCGCAGATAACTCACATTCTGGCAACCTGGCCAAACCGCTGATCCTCTTGTATCCGCGCAGCCTTGTTTGCAGTGATGACGTGCGCAACGGACGGAGTGCTGTCCTCAAAGTAGAATGATAGGGAACGTGCGCGAGGGATTCACTTACCTTTGGTGTGCAATATTGAATTTTCACCTATACCACGTGACTACTTCTAGATTTGGCTATTCTCAGGGACGCCCATGGGAGGACTCATGCCCCTAGTTCCCGGCAGCATATAGCGATAAGTACTCTAGCAAAGTCGTAGCTTCATTTGCGACCAAGCGCATTTGTGACCTCTCAGACGCGAGAAAGGTGATGAGCTCATTAGCCAAAGCGACCCTCTGCAATACTACCACTGGCACATAACGTGAACTGTCAGGGCGGAGAAAAGCTTTGTTTCGCGTTTCGTGTTGGATGACCTTGATTTACCCTGTAGACTTGAGCACCAAGGTTGCCGTCTTAGGCTGCTTGTTTGAGTGCCCACATTGCTAGGCAACAGTTCTCACAACAGCGCGGTGTTGTGTGGACCACTGGCTGGTGTGCTCAAAGGGATGGCCATGTATAGCAAGTACGTCCTGGTAGGGGCGAATTCATGGATCCATGCTGCTATAAAGCAGCATTAGAATCCATTCAGGCGGAGACTCCTGGTAGGGGAGACTTCATGGATCCCTGCTGCTATAAGGCAGCATAAAAATTCCCTCAGGCGAAGAGTCGCCGCACTCCGGAGCAGTCCAAGCGACCTCGAATGCTCGTCCTCAGGGACGCCGCGGCCTGGGTAACATCTACGTGTGGGCCTCGGGCGACGGCGGGGAGGACGACGACTGCAATTGTGACGGATACGCTGCCAGCATGTGGACCATCTCCATCAACTCGGCCATCAACGACGGCGAGAACGCCCACTACGACGAGAGCTGCTCCTCCACCATTGCATCCACCTTCTCGAACGGCGCCAAGGACCCTACCACCGGCGTGGTGAGACGATCTCAAACGTGCAAAGAGCATGCCAGACGCTGCATACCTTAGTTTCGAGCACTACAAAACTGCAGCAAGGCAAAGGCAGGCTTCCGCATTTCAAATATTTCCATAGCGTACCACTTCGGACTCCGCAGTTTTTCCAAGTTTGGGCCCATTCCTCTCTGCCCAGCCTTTACGCTTCACCTGTCCCCGCTGCCCGCGTGAACAACCTCCAAAAGCGTTCGGCACCCTGCGGCGGAGAGGGCGCAGATAGTCCGTCCGGTGGCGCACTGACCCTGTCCACGTGCCGGACAGGCCTCCTGCTGACAGTTCGCCCCGCTTCAGGCGACGACGGACCTGTACGGCCAGTGCACCAAGACCCACTCGGGCACGTCGGCGGCTGCGCCCGAGGCGGCCGGGGTCTTCGCGCTGGCGCTGGAGGCCAAGTGAGTCCCCCCCCCCCCCTCCCCATCTGGGGACTGCCTGCAGCACCGCTGTTGAACAGAGCACGTTCAGTCGATGCTCGAACGTACCGTGCCTCTGCTGAATGCGAGCCTGCTGAACCGTCTCCACGCTTGACTAGCTCAGCGCCTGGACGCTGAGCTCCTCTCAGCAGTCGCGGCGGGATGCGACTGGATTCTGAGCCGCTCCGAGGGCTGAGCCGCGGACATTACGCTCCGCGCTCAGAACAGCTGCGGAGCGATTAGTCTACATCCTTTCTTCCGCAGCCGTGGCTTAGTTTTGTAGTCGGAGGCACCGCAGCTTATATTCCCAAGACTGGCGTATTTTTAACGAGGTTAAACGCCTTATCACTGCTCTGTCCCGTTTCTCGCCGTCTTCAGCCTCTGATCCGTCCCAGACTCTTCCCTGCCCCGGCCTGCGCGCCATGCTGCACGCCTGGGCTCTGTCCTCAGCCTCGTCTCTGCTCCCGCCATGAGCGTTGCCTCAGCCGCTGCCCTATCCGCGTCCTCAACTCTGACTCTCCAGTCTTTACGCTGATCCAGTCTCCGCTTCCTGCCCACGGCCCCAGCTTTATCCACAGCCTCAGCTCTATCCACAGCCTCAGCTCTATCCACAGCCTCAGCTCTGTTCACAGCCCCAGCTCTGTATACAGCCCCAGCTCTACCCACAGCCTCAGCTCTGTTCACAGCCCCAGCTCTGTATACAGCCCCAGCTCTGTATACAACCCCAGCTCTACCCACAGCCTCAGCTCTATCCACAGCCTCAGTTCTATCCACAGCCTCAGCTCTACCCACAGCCCCAGCTCTGTCCACAGCCCCAGCTCTGTATACAGCCCCAGCTCTACCGACAGCCTCAGCTCTGTTCACAGCCCCAGCTCTGTATACAGCCCCAGCTCTGTATACAGCCCCAGCTCTACCCACAGCCTCAGCTCTATCCACAGCCTCAGCTCTACCCACAGCCCCAGCTCTATCCACAGCCTCAGCTCTATCCAGAGCCTCAGCTCTACCCACAGCCCCAGCTCTGTCCACAGCCCCAGCTCTGTATACAGCCCCAGCTCAGTCCACAGCCCCAGCTCTGCCGAGCTTGCATTCGAAGGCCAACGTCGGCCTATCTAATCAATATTGACCCTGAAGCCTGGCTCCGCCCCGACTGGCGTCGAGTGAGCGCGACCTTCGGACCGAGCATCGGCGTTGCGAAGGCTTCCGGGAATTCTCATGCTAATTGCTCATGTCATGTGTTGGTCATATGTCAGATGTGGCCGATGCTCGCGGGGCAAAGCTTCACTGGTCCCTCCGCCACAATCGCGGTTACTTTTCTTTGAGGCGTTTAAAAACTCAGGCTACAACTGGCTGGAGGATATCACGTGATGAATACAGTTAAAATCACGATGTGGAAAGGAGAGGAGGCATATTTGCCTCAGAAACCCACAAATGCATATATATATATATATATATATATATATATATATATACACATATATTGTATGTGCAACAATGACTTGCTTCGCGTAGGGGAAACAGCCTTGTACTTTACAAACCTTGTACAAACAGGGCTTGTAGCCCCCTAACGCCCGCCAATCTCTCTTGGTCCGTCACTCCCCTATCCTCTCGCAGTCCGTAATGTACTTGCTCCCCTGCTCTCCCGCAGCCAGCCTTCTGACAGCTTTCTGAACACATAACCTTTCCTAGTCTGTTACATCCCGTCCCGTCACGGCCCATCACATGTTGCCCTCTGTCAGTCTGTCACGCGCCTGCCGTCTGTCACGCACCGGCAGTCTGTCAGGCGCCGACCGCCGCGCCCCCAGCCCGCAGCTGACCCGGTGGACTGCTGTCTGTCACGCCCCTACCGTCTGCCACTCGCCGGTCGTTTGTCACGCGCCGGCCGTCTGCCACGCGCCGGCCGTCTGCCACGCGCCGGCCGTCTGCCACGCCCCTGCCGTCTGCCACGCGCCGGCCGTTTGTCACGCGCCTACCGTCTGTCAAGCGCGCCCGCCTTGCCCCCAGCCCGCGGCTGACCTGGCGGGACGTACAGCATCTGACCGTACTCACGTCCAAGCGCAACTCGCTGTACGACCACAAGAAGCGTTACTTCTGGCACATGAACGGCGTGGGGCTCGAGTACAACCACCTGTTCGGCTTCGGCGTGATGGACGCCGGGGCGATGGTGGCGCTGGCGAGCCGCTGGCAGGAGGTGCCGGCCCGCTACCACTGCCAGGCTGGCAGCGTCGTGCGGGACAGGTCAGTTTTGCCGCGCCCCGGGCGGTGTCGGCGGGGCGGGAGCCGGCGCGCTCGGCGCCAGCCGTCGGGGTCAGGTCGGTCGCACCCGCTCGTGGCGGCGGCGCTGCGAGCTTATGTCAGGGGGGCTGCTCAGTTGGAGTCGCTGTCGTCAGAGAGGTCTGTTGGGGTCGCCATCGTCAGAGACAGGTCAGTTTGAGTTGCTGTCTTCAGAGACGGGTCAGTTGGCGTTGCTGTCGTCAGAAACGGGCCAGTTAAGGTTGCTGTCGTCAGAGACAGGTCAGCTGGAGTCGCTGTCGTCGGAGGTCAATTGGGGCCGCTGTCGCCAGAGACAGGTCAGTTTTACCGAGCGGCTTCAGCGACGGGGCCGTAGCATGTCGCATCAGAGCAGTCATCAAGAGCCAGTGGCGAGCAAGTGCGTACATCGCCCTGGATAGGTCATTCGTACTCACCGTGACCAGGGCGGGTCAGTCGTACCTACTGAGCTTACCCGGGACTGCCGGCGATCGTCGCCGCCGCCACGACTGTCGCCCCATTCCCAACGTCGTGACCGTCGCCATCAGCAGCGTACATGACCGTCCGTCCTGCCCATCTCCAACGTCGTGATGGCGGCCATCAGCAGCGTACATGGCCGTCCGTCCTAACCATTCCCAACGTCGTGACCGTCGCCATCAGCAGCGTACATGGCTGGCCGTCGTGCCCATCTCCAGTGTCGTAACCGTCGCCATCAGCAGCGTACTTGGCTGGCCGTCGTGCCCATCTCCAGTGTCGTAACCGTCGCCATCAGCAGCGTACATGGCTGGCCGTCCTGCCTATCTCCAGTGTCGTAACCGTCGCCATCAGCAGCATACTTGGCTGGCCGTCGTGCCCATCTCCAGTGTCGTAACCGTCGCCATCAGCAGCGTGCATGGGTGGCCGTCCTGCGCCGATTCGGGGCGATTCTGACGTGATCACTGATAACGTCAACTCCGCTCATCGCTACAATCGCCGCTAACTGCGCCACTGGGACCGCCTCGTCACCTGCGTCAGAGAGGAGTGACGGCTCGTGACAGTTGTACCCGCCCCCACGGTGGCTGAGTGACGGACTGCGATGGACGGCGTTATGCCACTTTAAATGCCGTCCATGGATACAAGCGGACAGGAAGTGAATGTTGTCTTGTTCTGTTACATGACAACATACATGTTACATGACAGCATGCGCCCCTTCTAACATGATGTCCGCTTCCGGTTCTTGCCTTATATCCCCGTGTAATCCCGGATCAAGTTTACGTATCAGTGCACCACCGAAACACTGCATGCACAGAGGCTGAAAACCTCATCCAATAACTCGGTCTCACTCATGTACACGTACGACGAGTGCAATTTCGAACCGAAGGCGGCCTTATTTCACCCCCTCGCTCAGTAGTCAGCAACCCAGCCGCAGGCGGCGGCCACGTCGCGGCCAAAAGGAGCCCGACGGTGGTACGCCGGGGACGCGGCGGCCGACCAGCGCCATGCGCGGCTGCCGCCTGTATTCGCGGCGCGCCCACGCAGCGGCCGTCGGCGCCGCTGGGCTGTCCCGGACATTTTGATTGGCTGGTCGACATGTGCGGCCGACTTCGCCCGAGAGCTTGAACCAGCACCCGTGGTGGCCGCGTGCACCCGGCGGAAAATTGAACGGCACGTGGCCGGCCTCGTCGGGGCTCCGCCGCCGCTCGGTGCCGTCTTGGCGCGGCCCGGGGCGGTTAGTGCCTGGCGGGAGGAAGCTTAGGGGAGTCGGTGCAGCAAAGCTGCCGGGAATGATGAGAGGGAATGGTAACGTTCTTCTCGTACAAATGGCAGTTGATGACACCACGATTTCCATACGTTCCCAGCTTAACGACTTAATTGTTACCGCTGTGCATTGTACCACATTTCACGAAACCAAAATTGGCAACAAAAATTGGTGCGCTTGGTTATATACTCATTGCATACCTAAATATGGCTTGCTGTAACCACTCCAGATATCCATGCTCGCCTTAGCACTCAAACAGTTGTTGTTTCTAGCCCTTAACGACGCCACGTAACCGCGGCGCAGCTTCTTTTTTAATCACGAAGGACAGATAACAAGAATAATTTTGCATTGGACACTTCCTGTGCAAAACATCCCGGAAACATTGTATGTTACACACTTCATGCATCTGATATCAGGCCACCTTTCCCGCTGTCTTTTTTGCGTGCGCAGTGCCATGAGCTCTTCCGGCCAAGAACATGTTTTGCATTAAATACGACACGTCTGCAGTGGCTTGCGTGGTTGGCTATGGTACCATGTTGCCTGCTAATAAAAGCTCTCTCCGAATATCCGACCTCATGACATGATGTTTTCCATTCCAGTCTATCAGGTAATGCTGTTCCCACGCGCGGCGTCCCGGGACTGCGGATAATTTACGAGTTCTGCATACCTGCCACGCCAGGGCCGCCGCGTGGCAGCTGGCCGTCCCTGGCCAGGTGCTGACTGGCGTCTCCACATGAATCCGGCCGAGCAGCGAGCGCGTGCCGGGGCTCGTACTCAGTGCTGCCGGAATACGGGCCCAGCATGGTCGGGGCGGCATTATACCCCAGCGTGACGGTGGCGTTGGACAGTCTGTAGATAAACTGAGAGTAACGGCCCCAAAGGTATCGCGCATTTAACAAATTACGTAGCCCTTTTTGATTTGTGTTTATGCTCCTTATCGTTAACCATGGATTCCTGTTCTGCAGTATTTCTGCAATACTTTCGCCTCAACATGGAGCTTATGGGGCGGTATAATGACAGTGTTTTAGGTAATAGGGTTACCGTGAGCTAAGCGCCACAAGTTTGCAAAAGCGGCAGCATGTCCGTTTAGCATCCGCACGCGCCGAGACGCTCTGCAGTCACAATTTTTGCTTCGTTTCAAGAAAAGACAATAGGAAAACTTTTAATAAGCCTGATTGCGTTAAGCATAGGTGGCCAATGGAGCCAGAGCCTTGCAGAAAGTCATGCGATCTCTTTACCATGTATAAGACGCAGACGGCCGTAGGTACAGACACAACGACCGTGATGGTCAGTCGCCAGCGCCGGCTTGTCGAATGCACCAGCATATACCTTGAACATTCAGTTCGATTTCCCCTGGCTGAAATTATTGCACGCTTGAATGTAGATCATCCGTGAAAATGCTACAAATATATGAATGATCCATAAATATAGCTACACATGACACAGCTGCATCATAATGTGTAACGATGATGCTGCACAATATATTGCATCACTAAAGCCACGGGGTCTCGCTCACCGTAACACCACCGCTCACCGTAACAACACCGCTCACCGTAACATCACCGCTCACCGTAACATCCCCGCTCACCGTAACACCACCGTTCACCGTAGCATCCCCTCTCGCCGTAACATCACCGCTCACCGTAACACCACCGCCCAGCGCTCATCGTAATATCCCCAGATGCAAGGATAATTTCCCATAAGAGAGTATTTGCTGTGGTGGCACTCCGGGCTTGGGCCATTCTCCGCACATTAGCCTTCGTCGTAGCGGATAATGGTTTACTGGATGACCATATTCACCTAGTGTGGAACATTTCTCAATCTAACCGGCGATGCCTGTATGAACTTTGAGTTGAACTAGTTTAACCAAGACCTGTGAGAGCTCTGAATGATATGATGCGACCTAGCCTCAACCTAGCTGCTTACCCTCTGTGATGGTACTCTTAACGACAATCTGTTATATGTGAACGTTCAGGCCTGCGCCAGGGAGTACGCATAGAGTGACCGCATGTATACTCCCTGTGCATTTTTGCCAATCAGCTATAGCTGCTACTGCTGGCAGGGAGTGATGAAGAGAGTAATGGTGGAGTGGTTTCTATAGCGTACGGAATATTCCTGGACCATATTTCACGCGAGCTCACGTATGACAAAGCACCTTCATCAGTATTCCAGCGTCAGGTCAGTTTTACCTTAGCCACATCAAGCTGGGATTCAAATTGTATTTCGTGACACGTGTGCCAAGCGAGTCGGGCGTTTGGGGCGACGTGGGATGATCTCGGCTCGTGCTGCGACCGAAATCGACCCGACCGACAACGGATGGCCTACGGGTCTCAGTCGGCGATCTAGCCTGGGGACAGCCCAATTCCGACCTGCTCCCTGTAGCGGCCTGAGGGCTGACACATGGCGTGTTGGCTTGTCCTCCCCCCAACAGTACAGACGTACTGCGGCAGATATTTGCGGCACCGGTGGAGGACTCGGGTTCACAACGCGTCGAGGCCGCGTCCGGCGAGGGCGTGGGAAGTACTTCAGCTGAGCGCGGTCGCCGCTCTCTGGGAGCGCGCGGAGCCGCGCTCGGCTGGGGCCGTCGCCGCCAGACTGGGCCAGACCGGGCGCCCGGCTGAGGCCGTCGCCGCCAGACTGGGCCAGACCGGGCGCCCGGCTGAGGCCGTCGCCGCCAGACTGGGCCAGACCGGGCGCTCGGCTGGAGTCGTCGCCGCCAGACTGGGCCAGACCGGGCGCTCGGCTGGAGTCGTCGCCGCCAGACTGGGCCAGACCGGGCGCCCGGCTGAGGCCGTCGCCGCCAGACTGGGCCAGACCGGGCGCCCGGCTGGGGCCGTCGCCGCCAGACTGGGCCAGACCGGGCGCCCGGCTGGGGCCGTCGGGACCAGACTGGGCCAGACCGGGGCAGCACGGCCGTCGGGGCCATGGCGTCTGGGTCGGGCCATGTGTCCGCCTCTGCAGTCCCGTCTCATCGCACCGCGCCGGCCGTGCGGACCGAACGGCCGGCGGACTGCTGATGGGCGCCGGCGACGGTCCATCCGCAGCGGCTGCGGTCGACGTTCAGCGGTCGTCACGTCGGCCGTTTCGCCGGAAAACTGCGATGCTTCTGTCCTGGGCTGGACGCATCGCAGCAGCAGCGGCCGCCGACCAGTCGCACCGGCGACAAATGTCCCCTGCGCCGCGGACTACAGCGGAGCTGCAGAATTAACGGGGCGAGTGACGGTCTTCAAGCCGTTGCGCATTGAGCTAAGTCTTATTGAGCGACTCTTTACTGACTGGGTGGAATGGTGGCCAACTGCGACGCAGATGTCTCTCCTGCGCCATCCACGTGCATTTGAACGCGTAAGTCATCCACACAGATGTATGCCTCCTGCTGAGCAGTAACACCATCGGCTTTAGACAATGATTTGTATCTCGCACTGCATTCATTGGGCGCACTTCTGTGAGGCCAGGGCTTGTGGCCGTGTCGGAATAGTTCCATTAAATGACTCTTCATATCTTTCACTGCGAATAAGCAAGATCGATGGGTGGCTGGTGTTGTATTGCGCTCAGTATGACAGTATCTGATTATTTCGCTCTGCTGTGGTCAGGCCTGGAAATCGAATGTCTTATAGTGGTCAGATGTGAGTGATAGAATGCAGTCATGAGTAGTCCATTATTTGTATCGGTGTTACGCAGCGGCCTTTGGCACTGAGGAAGTTATTTCGATGTGTAATGGACCGATTACCACTAACCAAGAACCATCTGAGTGATTACAAGCTATTTTGTACTTAACGTAACTGTATGCGGCATGCGAAGGATTTTCTAGCTACGCTTTCCATCGGCCAATCTTCTTATTGCAATAGTCGATTGCATCGCATCTGAGTGTGTCAGGTTTAATATGGCAGCTATCACTCATCGGCACGCCCTTTTGCGTCATGCCAAATCTGGTAACATGAAGAGCGGAAGGTTTTACAGCTGGCACCTAAATAGCCCATCTGCTGACCGGTCAGTCTGATCACTGAGCCGCTCCTGCTGACACGGCGAGGACCGAGCCCGATGGACCGCCGCTGCTGACCCGCCAGGGCTGCCCCTGCTGAGTCTCAAGGGCCGCCGCTGCTGACCCTCCAGGGCCGCCGCTGCTGACCCTCCAGGGCCGCCGCTGCTGACCCTCCAGGGCCGCCGCTGCTGACCCTCCAGGGCCGCCGCTGCTGACCCTTCAGGGCCGCCGCTGCTGACCCTCCAAGGCCGCCGCTGCTGACCCTCCAGGGCCGCCGCTGCTGACCCTCCAGGGCCGCCGCTGCTGACCCTCCAGGGCCGCCGCTGCTGACCCTCCAGGGCCGCCACTGCTCACCCACTGGGACCACGCATGCTGACCGTTCAGGGCCGCCGCTGATGACCCTTCAGGGCCGCCTCTGCTGACCCACTAGGGCCGCCCATGCTGGTCGTGCAGGGCCTCCCTGCTGAGACGCCAGAGCCTCCCCTGCTGACTCTCCGCCCTTCTGCCCACAGCCCGATCCCCCAGAACGGCACCCTGCGCTGGAACATCACGACGACGGGCTGTGCCGGGTCCGACACAGAAGTCAACTACCTGGAGCACGTGCAGGCCGTCATTACCATCAACTCCACCCGACGCGGCGACGTCGAGCTCTTCCTCACATCGCCCATGGGCACCAGGTAGGCCGGCGCGAGCCAAGGCGGCAGCGGCGTGGGTACCGTCCCACCAGCCACCACCATTGGCCACCTGCGTGGGTTCCGCCCCACCATTGGCCACCTACGTGGGTTTTGTCCCACCATTGGCCACCCGCCTAGGTTCCGTCCCACCAACGGCCATCTGCGTGACTCCCGTTGCACCAGAAGCCACCTGCGTGGGTTAAGATCTACCAAGAGCCACCTGTGCGGGTCCCGTCCCACCAGTGACCACCTGCCTGGGTCAAGACCCACCAGCAGCGGTCTGCGTATGGTGAATCTCTCCGAGACCGCACGATAACCCCTCCACGGATGTTGTGATGAAGATGCAGTAAACGGCCCTGAGCAGCTACGGAATGCAGCTCATTCGTCCTATTTTTTCGCTGGGGATGCCGACAAAATTTGCAACAATCAAATGCCTTGAATTTGACAGCGAAATAGAGCAAACCCGCAACAGAAGCCAGCTTGAATACGCATATTTCTCTCGCTTACAGACTTCAATTATTTCGTTAATGAAATTGTATACAACCTTGACACCTTGCAGCCGTTTTGGCTTTCTGTCTTTCAATTTCAGGTTTCCCGGCTCCCAGTTCACCTTCGTAGTTGGTTGTTTCATTCCAGAGAATCTTCTTTGATATTACTTTACAAATAGTAAGGGTCAATAGACAGCCTGGGAGCCCAGAACGGATCCAATCTCAGCCGCATGCGCCATCCCGGAGAATATGTTTTCGTCAGCGTTGTTAGCTCTTGGCTCTACCGAAGGCAGGAATTGTGGAGCAAAACCTCGATGATGCGTCATCAGGCCTACCGCCAGCCAGGGGCAGGTGTTATGAAATTCATTGACCTTTTACTCATCAGTCGGAGAGCATTTCTGCCATCAGCCCATTGTCTTATCCGCAATGTTATCAATGTACTGCTGGACAAATTGCTGCTCTTCTCTGATTTATAAACGCGACGTGCCCTTTTTTGCTGTCGGCGGATCGGGTGAATGGTAATCATATAACATGCTTTTGTTAGACATGCTTGATCTTGGAGAGGTGCCCTGCGTCGACCCGGGATGGTCTCGTCCCACCTGCTCCCGGCACTGACCTCACCGCTGCCCGCGCCAGATCGATGATTCTGAGCCGGCGGCCGAACGACCGTGACGACCGGGACGGCTTCACCAAATGGCCGTTCATGACCACCCACACGTGGGCCGAGCACCCGGCCGGCACGTGGGTGTTGGAGGTGAGGGCTAGCTGAAACTAATGAGCCACCGGACCGGCCGCGACCGGGCCGACTGAGGCCGGGCTGACTGAGACCGGGCCGAGTGAGACCGGACCGACTGAGGCCGGGCTGACTGAGGCCGGGCCGACTGAGACCGGGCCGACTGAGGCCGGGCCGACTGAGGCCAGGCCGAGTGAGACCGGGCCGACTGAGGCCGGGCTGACTGAGGCCGGGCCGACTGAGACCGGGCCAACTGAGTCCGGGCTTACTGAGACCGGGCCGAGTGAGACCGGGCCGACTGAGGCCGGGCTGACTGAGGCCGGGCCGACTGAGACCGGGCCGACTGAGGCCGGGCTGACTGAGACCGGGCCGACTGAGACCGGGCCGACTGAGGCCGGGCTGACTGAGACCGGGCCGACTAAGATCGGGCTTACTGAGACCAGGCCGAGTGAGACCGGGCCGACTGAGACCGGGCCGACTGAGGCCGGGCCAACTGAGACCGGGCCGACTGAGACCGGGGCGACCGAGACCGAGCCGACCGATACCGAGCTGACCGATGCCGGACTGATTAAAACTTAGATGACTGAAACCGGGCCGACTGAGACCGGACCGACCGAGATCGGGCCGACTTAGGCCGGGCCGACCGAGACCGCGCCGAAGGAGACAGAGCCGACTGAAACCGGACAGACCGAAAACGCGCCGACTGAGACAGGGCCGACTGAGACCGGGGCGACTGAGACCGGGGCGACCGAGGTCGAGCCGACCGATACCGAGCTGACTGAGACCGGGCCGACTGAGACCGGGGCGACCGATACCCGGCCGACCGAGACCGAGCCGATTGAGACCGGGCCGACCAATACCAAACCGGCTGAAACTTAGCCGACTGGGACCGGGTCGACTGAGAATGGACCGACTGAGACCGAGCCGATGGAGGCCGAACCGCCCGGGGCCGGGCCGGTCGGCCAGCATTGTTCACTGTTCCCGTTTCGCAGTTCGGTAGGGTTCATGTTTTAGACGAGTCGTCAATACAAAAGAGGTTGAATTTGTCCGGGAATAGCGAACTTTTATCAGAAGAATGCATAGTTTAGATCTTCCGGCACTTGAAAAGACTCTTACATTTGTTGAAGCGTTACCTTTATTGCTCGTTTTCGAGACTCCCTGCTTTTTGGTGTAAGAACGTGCTGTACCGACTTTGGAAATGAATGCCACCATTTAACATTTTTGAATATTGCTGTTGATTTGTTGCACTCCTGTCATCTCTGCCCTGTACCCGGCACCCCTTGCTCATCAACGTCACCACAAATCCTGATGACCTCATACAGTCACCTCAAAACCCACGTCGGCACCCCGAACGTCAGCTATACCCGATGACCACACACCGCCGCGTCAGCCAAGTCCCTCCCCTCCCCTCCCCCCGCGTCGCCACCGTTGATCTGGCGCTGTCGCTACCTGCCCCGGAGCACCATCGATGACCCCACCCCACCATATCTGACCTTACACCTTTACCTGTGACCCCATACTGGGACCGCTGACCCCGCGCTGCCCGCCCCCAGGCGCAGTTCAACAGCAAGTCGCCGCAGGAGGGCTTCATCCGCGAGTGGACGCTGATGCTGCACGGCACTCGGCTGCCGCCGTACAGCTCTCTGCTCGTAACCGACCCGCACTCTAAGCTAGCCGTTGTCAAGAAGGTGCACGAATCCACCAAGGCGCGCATCTAGGCGGCGGCCGGCCGGATCAGCGGCGGCGACGGCGGCGGCAGCGGGCGTGAGCCGCCTCCTCCCCCCGGCGGACTCGCCGGCGCCGCCCGCCCCGGACGCCGAGGTCGAGATGCGGCCGCAAGCTGGCGCCGGCTGCAGCGAAGAACTTTCAGAGGCGACGTATAAACGCGGCTGGGTTTCGAGGATTTGTTTTTCAGTCGTCCGGCTGACTCCTTGGCAAGATAGCCGTCGCCGGCGGCGGGCCGCGTTGAAGGACGGTCAAGACAGGCTGGGTTGGCGGTAAGCACCGTCGCCCTAGGTTTCCGTATGGCCGCGAGCGCCTCCGACCCAGCTGTCGGGGCCTCTTCCGCTGCTAACCGATTGCCAAACCGCGCAGGGGGTCGGGGAGGGGAGTTGACTCTGCACTTTCGGCGTGCTGCGTCGGCTGGCGAACTGTGGAAAAGCTTCCCTACGTTGGCTTGACCCTGTACATAGATGCGATGCCTATATCCGCGCCGCGATAGAAATCCGATATATTTTTGTGGATGCGATCTCACTGGAACATATCGTGTGGATCCATGTGAGTACAGTCGTTCAAGACTTGGCAAAACTAGGCCGCAGTGCGCGTCGTCTCCATCCGTCATTCTAAGTCACGCGGCGGTTTCAGACTCGTACAATTACAGCCAAATTATGTCTCATGAGTTGACAGAGAAGCTGACGTGGCAGGTCACCGGGCGTTCGCGGCGGCGCGGTGGCGGAACGTTGTAAACTGGTCACCATCTGGTGAGCTGGCGGCGGCCGGGGGGCCACGGGAGGACGTGGCGACCCGGCCAGGACATCGCGAGGTCAGGAGATGAGAGGCCGATCGCAGCGGACGTTCTCGGGCCGGGTCGACAGGTGGCGACACAGGCGCACGGCCGCCGTGGTCGGGGACGCAGCAGGTCGGCTTGTCAGCACCGCGGTGCTCGGCGGCCGGAGAGGCGCCGCGCCTCGGGGCTGTTGACCTGGGCACCAACAGCGCCAGGCCAGCCAGGGATAAAATCACAAACGTGGGAGCACTTCGCTTTGTTCGAAAGGTCTTCAATTTTTAAAAAGAATTTCCAGTCAGATGAAATGCGCTAAGCCACAATCACAAGTACGAACCCAACGCCATCAGCTCCAGAGGTTTCCTTGTCATCCCGCGTGGAGATGAAATAATCGATTCAGGTTGAAGACCACCGATGGGGCATGGCAGAGTCCGGTCCGTTTCCAGTCAGCCGCAGACAGAGGGGCCCTGCCAGTGCGACGCCAGCCTGGTCGAGCCTGCACGACTGGACCGAGCACGGCCGGGAGCGGCGGACCTCTAGCGGTCGACGCCGTACCCTCCGACAGAGGGCAGGCGGCGCGCGTGGAGACGGGACCGGACGGACTCGTGGTCCGCCCCGAGTCCAGAACGACTGGTCGACTCCTGGGCCTCAACAACGCACGCCCCAGACGCGTCTCCATGTCAACAACGCACGCCCCAGACGCGTCTCCATGTCAACAACGCACGCCCCAGACGCGTCTCCATGTCAACAACGCATGCCCCAGACGCGTCTCCATGTCAACAACGCATGCCCCAGACGCGTCTCCATGTCAACAACGCACGCCCCAGACGCGTCTCCGTGTTAACTAGATGTAGACGTCTTCGACGATGCACGCTCCGAGCTGTGCCGACGGGCGGTGCAGGCCAGGTCAAGTCGGCGCGCGCCGTGACTGTCTCTGTGTTTTGCCGGCTGGACGTGTCGTTCGTAATTCTGTACTGATCCATTCGTTCAATAAACCGTCGGACAACATTCTTGTAGCTGTGCTCGTGAATCACCGTGCTAAATGAAAGTGTGCAGTCAGCTGCAGGCAACGCTCTGCACCCAGACTCCACAGGCTTACATTATCTCAGGTCCGCGTTTTTTGGCTTTTATTTTGGGTGAATGACGCCCAGACCGTGACAACAGACGGACCTGTGAAGAATGGGCTTGATGCGCTTTAACTCACCGCCCACGTGGCTTTCTTTACAAACTTCCAAGTTTTCTGCCTCAGCTATTTGTTCCCGCCTCTGGATCTGGTGGACCTGGACCTTCGTAAGCCTACAACTATTCAGATGTCGATGCTCGTACTGCGTTCGTAATATTGACGGCATCTCATCATGTTCTTCAAGATCTGCTGGAAAAATGTACAGATGACGTGGAGGCACGCTTTTTGCGCCGTGATTTTCTCAGCGACCTTCCTCTGAGCATCTGAACCACGTATGGTTTTGATGCATCCACGTGCCTGTCATGTAGTATAACCAAAAATATGCATTTTGATTTCGCTCCAGAATATGGGAACTCAAGGGTCATTCGTGGCTTCTCGCTGTAATGCAGAAAGCCCCTAAAAGCCCCAGAAAGCCCTTCGCAACATCCAAGCTAGCACTGACATGCGGTAAACACGTAGACCCCACGCGACCGGCCCACCGGTATTCACACGGAACTACATGGGTGAACGCCATGGTACTCACACGAGAGTGGCCCACGCGACCAGCCCACTGATATTCACACGGAACTACATGTGTAAATGCCTTGGTACTCATACGGGAGTGGCCGCTGAGTGCCATGTGGGCTTACCCATATGTCGATATGGCACGCGCAGTGCACATGGGTACCGTGTGGGCTTATCCAGCACTTAATCACGTAGTGCTCACATGGATACCATGTGAGCTTGCCCAACTCTAAACCACGTGATACTCACACGGGCACTTTATGGCCTCGCTCTTCTCCAGTCTGTGTGTCCACGTGGGCAGCATATGAGCATGTTCACCTGTTTTTCGAATTGGGACCACATAAAGCTATCCCTCTATTGAAAAGCTGCCCCTCTATCGACCACGATGACCCTGCGAGTGTCATCATGTCTATGGACCATGCCCCTCACATGCCACGTCAGATCTACTTGAGCGCCGTATGTGTAACGGCCCGTGGAATGCCCATATGGGTGTCATATGGTGCTTGTTGGGTATTGCACGTATCGGAGCGTTGGGAGTCTTATGATGTATTGATTCGATTCCTCCCAGAGTGTTATGAGCGTCACGTGGTACCAGCAACAGTGGCGCAGGTGGGCGAAGGGGGGGGGGGGGGGTGCACAGGGTTACAAATTGTTGACCTCGTTTAGACCTACCATCTACGTTGACGAGGTCCTTAATGTCTGTAGAGCACATACAAATGCTAGCAAACCCCTTGAGTGTTATCAGTCGGGAAAGTGTTCACTGATAGAATTGATTGCGCCGGTAGAATTGATTGCGCCGGTGATTTATTCCATGCAGTCAAATTCGCATCCGGGTGGCCGGCTCAATGCCATACGCTCGGGTGGGTGGGGCGGTCAATTTGGCCCCCTGAGATATAAAATAACTAAGAAAACTAGGTATCCCAAACTCACAGCGTGGGTTTGTCTGTACGTGAAATCACTGTCACAATTTCAAGTTACTAGATCATAACCTTCTGGTAAAATAAGGTCAAACAAGCTCAAAATCCAGATTTATGTCCAACGTGCCCCCAGACCTCCTCAGGCAACTGCCTTGAACCTAAATACCTGTTCTAAGCAAAATAGTAAATGGTGTTAATTTTAGATCAGTGACCTTGTTTGACCTTTGAAAGGTCACGGGTACCAAAAGCCTACAAGACTATTTTGATTTTATAATTTAAATGAGCGCCAGAGGTTACGCTGGGTGGTACTCCTCTGAACAACAAAGCTCATCGGCGCTACTTAAAGTCAGTGACCTATCTTGAAGCAGTCCGTAAAATATATCTGTTGTGATCCCCATTATCAAAAAGTTGAAAATCAGTATACCCAATGAACTAAGTCTTCCAGTAAAAAAAACAAAAAAAAACGGGTTGGCCTCATCTAGATCTAACCTTTGTAACCGATCCAAGGTCAAGTGAATTTGTCATAAGCCTAACTCTAATTGTCTGATTGTGTACAAACCTATCTCAGAGACGTGCGGCTTTGTCTTATAATCTATTGTCGCACAAGATTTAACAATTCTTTAGAAATTGCCCTCGCTAATAGCCACGGCTTGATTTTAAACAGCCATTGGTTAGTGACCTTAAAGGGTACATCTAATTTTGCACCCCAAAAGATTCACTATTCAACTGCCTGCAGGCATGCAGGTTTGGAGCGGTCATGCCACACCTTTCGCAAAACGTTCTTGAAAATCCTTGGGGGGAGGTGAAATTGACTCATCGGCAAGGCGCGGGCTAACTAATGCCACTTTCTTCATCTTGTTGACTTGAAATACAAATAAGATGACATATTTCGCTATTCTTCTGGTTCAATTGAAATCAAAATGGCCGAAAAGACAAATAAGCAAAAAATCGTGCCTCCTCAAAATCAAGTGGGCCATATCAGGTGAACGTTTGTTTTTCTGGGGGGGGGGGGGGGTCTCACGGTGAGGGAGCCCTTTGTCAACTCTGTATATCCCTTGCCAGGACTCTGGCTGCGTCCTTGGACACCAATGGGGTAATAAGTATATCACATGAGACAGGCAACTACCTGACCATTGCGACTACCTGACCAGCTTTCTCCGGAGCCCGGGTGACAGGGCGCTCAACTGATACAGCGCTGACAGCCCGGCTTCTTCACCAAGACACTGCAAGTTGGCTGCATGTGGGTTTGCTGGCTGAGCAATTTGGGCGCGGCCTCTGGCGTTTAAAAGACGAAACTGATTTGTTTCAACTAACGCAAGCAAGTGCCGCAACGTGTCATTGATATAGCACGCGCACCATCGTTTATCATCATTAACACGTCCTGTATGACATGGAACGATGAAAGGGCAGACGGGCATGAGTTTTTAATCATCATGTTCATGGCATCAAAGTTAAGCTAATGTGTGCACGTTTGGGAGCATCCCAAGAATGCCCCCACAGGGCCTGTGGGCCCGAACACCGTGTGGGCCCGAGTCAATATTTTGTGACATATTTTGAGTACATATTTTATGTAACAGACCAAAACCCTGCGCATTAAGGCAGCCAGTGTCAGTCAGCCAGTCGATAGCCAGTCTGTCAATAGTCACGTGACTGACAAATGCTAGTCACGTGATAGCCAGTTGGATTCATCGGCGATCGTCGCCAAAGAAGGCCGCTTGTTCACCCAGAAATCTCTACAAAAGACCAACAGCGCTTTTAGAGACCCTCCGCTAAACGACCCACTTAGATCCTTATGCGCCTCTTTTCAAGGGAACCGTTCATGGATCTTTTTGGGATCCTTAACCTAATGACATCCTAGCCAAAGTAGACCCTTGGATCCCGAGTGCCTCCACCCTTCCATTTATTGAAAGGCCCTATGCGGGTGGAGCCCAGGGTGTCCATGGGGTTCTGAAAGCCCGTCGTCATACTCCTTAAGGACTCCTCAGTCTATTACAGGCATGTACCAACAGGTCTCATGGGCTTCTATGTGCCTAGTGACGGGCACGCGTGAGCTTTAGAGCTACCTGTCAAAAAAATTTCATAGATCTGTCAGTCTCACACGAGAGACGTCAATGACCAGAGAGTGTTTTTGAATCTCTGGAAACCCTAAGCTATCGGAGGAGAGTATGATCACTTCAGTGGCCGTCCTCTAGAAGGTAGGCAGATAACGAGACACCTTTCAAAAACTGATGCAAGTTCCGTTCAGCCCACAAGAGCGCACCCTCATGCATCCATTTTGGAGGGGGGTCTTCGGCCCCAAGTCACTGGGGCCTATATGCTATATAGCAATGATCGCCTTCTGTCGTTTCTGGTGTGTGTTGGGTGTTATGAAGTCCCTAGTTCCTGAGTAAAGTTTTCGGAAATGTTAAAAACATGTTATGTGCTATAGGCTATTGATGGTGCCAGTGTTCACTAGGTCAGTAATAATATTCACGTTAGGGTAAATCCACACGCACCACATCAGCCTGGCAGGACGCCTAGGTAGTCGGGAAAACAGATCAAACATGGACAAAATGATCTACCGCTCGGTGAGAAGGTTCGTCATGAGACGGCAGTTAGTAGTCCATTCTGTATAACTGTCCATTCAGCTTTCGACAATGGTTGAAGCCGTTGATTAAAGCTAAAAATAGTTCGACCACTCCTTTAAAGATCAAAAGTAGGCAGACGAGATAGGTAGGCGCTGAAACCATGATCGTCATCTTTGCTATATCATCGATGAGACACTGTTTGTGCCCATGCAGATTTTGCCACTTCCTTGTCATCTGTTACAATTGTCCTTGTGTTATCGTCCCGACAGACGGTGCTTGTACACCCGGGGGACACTGGCAGTTGGCTGCGACAGGCGGTGCTTGTACACCCGGGGGACACTGACAGCTGGCTGCGACAGACGGTGCTTGTACACCCGGGGGACACTGGCAGCTGGCTGCGACAGGCGGTGCTTGCACACCGGGGGACACTGACAGCTGGCTGCGACAGGCGGTGCTTGCACACCCGGGGGACACTGACAGCTGGCTGCGACAGACGGTGCTTGTACGCTCGGGGGACACTGGCAGCTGGCTGCGACAGGCGGTGCTTGTACACCCGGGGGACACTGGCAGCTGGCTGCGACAGGCGGTGCTTGCACACCTTGGGGGACACTGGCAGTTGGCTGCGACAGGCGGTGCTTGTACACCCGGGGGACACTGGCAGTTGGCTGCGACAGGCGGTGCTTGCACACCCGGGGGACACTGACCAGCTGGCTGCGACAGGCGGTGCTTGCACACCCGGGGGGACACTGACAGCCTGGCTGCGACAGGCGGTGCTTGCAACACCCGGGGGACACTGGCAGTTGGCTGCGGACAGGCGGTGCTTGCACACCCGGGGGG